ACACTTGCCTCTGCTGATGTCAGAAAAGGGCACCCATGAGATCAGAAAGGAGGATGGATCACCCACTCCTTCATGCTTGCCATGTTGGAGCCCCATTCTGATCTCAACAGAGGTGCCCATGACAGCCAGGAGCTTGCCCAGAGCTCCATGGCCAGCTAGAAACAGTGGCGACACAGAACGGTCCATCCCTTTCTAGTGAACAGCACAGGGAAAGAATAATTGATTCAGCCCAACCATCTGGACTGCCCTGAAGCTGAGGGATACTCAGGAGTTTCCGGAAAACTCCAGAATATGCCTTGATTTTAACTGAATCAGAACCCCATTCTATTAAATTTAATAAGGTTTGCCCCCCTCAAAAGTAGATACAGCCTTACATACTGGTACATCTGCTACCTTACATACTGGTACATCTCAGACTTTCTCTTAAGGCAGATGGATGTTCTTAATGTTCAACACTGCTGCTCAAATTCTGATTATATTTTTTTCTGTATTTCTCTAGTCTCTGTCCTGCCATATGCGCCTTATCTGGAAGCTTGGACTGCCTATGAAAGTGAAGTATGACTGCTCTGCTGAAGATGAATCTTCAGGGTTTGGTGATGGATCTGGAGCAGAACAGGGATCTACCAGTGGCTTTCTTATTGAGCCAGAAGGCAATTTTTTAATAGGGTGAATGCTTGTGTTTATAAAGATGTAAACATTTCTGCAAAGGTGTAGAGCACCTAACATTAATATTCCAAAATCAGTATTATGATTGTTCTTCTACATAAAATCATTTCAGTCTACTTTGAAGTTTTGCACTAGTTGCTTATTTTCTGCCATAAATACATTCTTTTTCTGGGCAGTTTCATATGAAGAAAAAGTATTTTTATGTACCTTCCTACAACATTTTTCCAGATTGTTTTAATATATGTAAGAACTACTGATTTGAATCCAAGTTTCTGGCATTAGGTGGGGTAGCTTAGTATTGAGAAAAAATGTTGATATATATAATGTTGATATACATATGAAACTACCATTTTAAAGAACTATGTGTTGAGATACTTAAAGTTTTGAAAATAAAACAATTGATGCCTACTTTTAACTTATATCCAATAAAATCAATAATGCACATTTTCTTTTTTTCTCATGTCTTTTGTACATTTGTCACATCATTTTGAAAGTAATTATTTCGTGTTGGAGGACAGAAATTTTGGAAAGATTGATGTAATAAATGTTGTTTATTCGTTCAGTTGCTTCCAACTCTTTGTGACTTCATGGACCAGCCCACGTCAGAGCTCCCTGTCAGCCATGGCCATCCCCAGCTCCTTCAAAGTCAAGCTAGTCACTTCAAGGGTACCATCCATCCTTCTTGTGCCTGGTTGACCCCTCTTCCTTTTTCTTCCATTCTCCCCAGCATCACTGTCTTCTCTGAGCTTTCCTGTCTTCTCATGATGTGGCCAAAATACATCATCTTTGCCTTTAATATCCTTTCCTCCAGTGAGCAGCCGGGCTGGTTTGATCTTCTTGCGGTCCAAGGCACTCTCAGAATTTTCCTGCAACACGACAGCTCAAAAGCGTCTATCTTTCTTTGCTCAGCCTCCCTTATGGTTGCATCCATAAGTTAATATGGGGAATACCATTGCTTTAACTATGCGTATCTTCATTGCCAGTGCGATGCCTCTACTCTTCACAATTTTATCAAGATTGGTAATTGCTCCTCCCAAGAAGTAAACATTTTCTGTCCTTGCTGCAGTCTGCATCTGCAGTAATCTTCATGCCTAGAAATACAAAGTCTGTCACTGCCTCCACTTTTTCTCCCTCTATTTGCCAGTTATTAATCAGTCTGGTTGCCATAATCTTAGTTTTTTTAATGTTTAACTGCAACCCAGTGTTTGCATTTTTCTTCTTTCACCTTGGTTAGAAGGCTCCTCAGCTCCTCCTCGCTTTCAGCCATCAAAGTAGTATCTGCATATCTACGATTGTTAATGTTTCTTCCAGCAATTTTAACTCTAGCCTTGGATTCATCAAGCCCTGCACATTGCATGATGTATCAACAAGGCAATGATCCTTTGGAGTAGTAATAAAGTGATGATTAATTTGATTTTAAGGAATATTTTCTGAGTTATAGTAGGGCATTGGTGACCACTAGAGATAGGTTCCAGGACCCCTTGTGGATAGCAAAATCTGTGGATGCCCAAGTCTTATTATATATAATGATTTGAAAATATTTTGTTTAAATACAAAAACCAAACCTTGATTTTGCCTATTTATATCAGAGACACCATTTTGAAAGAAAGAATGCATAACTTTCTCCCCACATGAGATTGCTTTTGTAAAAAAAAATGGAAGGACAGAAGGATTTTCTTATTATGTGGTAGAAACAGCAAAAGAACCCTGTGGCAGCATAAAAACTTAACCAAAGTATTATGGCAGAAGCCTTCATGAACTAGAGAGAAGGGTGATCCCAATGTTCAGCTATTATATACAAAACATAAAGTGATGGAAATCATACACAGTGAGCTCAGAAGGACATTAAATGAAGGAAGTACAGACGGTGACAATTACTTTAATGCTAGTCGTTCACAAAGCTGTTCCTGCTGATAACACAAATATGTGAGTTCCAAGGAAGGCTGTTTGCATGCCCAGGTTGATGATAAGAAACCATTATTTCAATTCAGACCTTTGGAGGCAGACTCACTACTTGATGAATTATAACACTGCTCTCTTTTGCTTTAATCTTTCTTTGCAATGTCTTTGTTCTATAATGACTGCTTTAAAATCAGAGTGCTGTGGGAGGGCAATGTGTTCTCCTGCCAGTTTTTCAATATTTTCTGATGTTAGATTTGGGTCCCTTTATTCTTTTGTGCAGAAAAGGTTTGCCTTTAGTGAAAAGAGCATGACATTAGTTATACAGCGGTGGCATATATAAAAAATGGAAGATGAGCAAGCAAACTACCTTCCATTGTCATTGGTGACATAGTAAGGTCCAGCAATAGTACTGGCAGAGTAGATACATAGGCAGCAGGAACATGACTCTGTGTGAGTCAGGAATTGGCAACAGAGGGCTCATAAATTGTTTTCGAAGGACCCAACCGTAGGCGTGTTTTCCAGTGACATGGGAAGCAAGATTGAAGGGGCTTTTCCAGAACTGGCTATTTAAGGAGACATGTAAGCAGACCACTAGCAAACAGACCTCTGCCAAAACCACACCCTTTCTTGTAGTTCAATAGCTTCAGGTGACTACTTATTTTCAGCAGGTAGATAGGGCTAGCTTGCATGCAGGTCAATAGTGAAACTATGAAGAACCCAAGTAAAACCAGATATTGGGTAGAATTGAAGGCAAGACTGGAATAAGACACCACTGGTAGACTCAGGTCTCCACAACATCATAGCCAAGAGTAACATGAGTATATGAGCATGATATTCAAAGTGATGGTTAGCTATGGAACCTTATGGTGTGACAAAGTAAACCAGTCTTCCAGAGTAATTATGAGCATATTCCAGTCCAGTGATGGACAGGTATAAACTACAATCATCCTCATCCACTGCCAATGGTGAGAGATGATGGGACCTGGAGCAAATACATGAACAAGCATTCATTAGAAAAATAGAAGAATATAACTCTAGTGAGCCCCATGCATGGAGTGTTCTCCCTATTCTTTGGAGAGGGAGCAATATCAATCTAGGTATATTTTAGGTACAATAACATACGAGTGTCACCGCTGAGGACATTACACTACTGGCAAAGAAGCATGTCCTGCTGAGAAGAAAATTATCATGGGCATATCAATTAGTATTAGACACCTGGCTTTTTGTACCCATTTGGCTGAAGTGTAATGAGGGGATGTTTAAGCAGGAAATATTAGCCTTTATATACACATACCAGCAACTGCCTTTGTATTTTCCTTCTGGTTTAAGCCTCAGTAGGGAGGCTCCTCAGTGACTCATTAATAAAACACCATGCCCTTTTGTCCCAGAAACACAGATTAAACAAATGCCACGGACAGACTTAAAGAGTATTTAGAGCAATGGCTCCCAACCTTTTTTTGACCAGGGACCACTCTCCAACAAGTACCAAAAGTGTTACAAATCAGTTTTTGGTCAACTTTAGATTTGGTTTGGTTATTTGGGGTGCTGACTCAGAAGACTGCATTGGATAAACCACATCAGTTCTAGTTTCTGATACAGAACATATGCCATCCAATAGTCGCAATCTGCTGGCCCACAGAAAACCATAATTAATAAGCCTCAGCACTATAAGAAGGTTTTGCAAGACCAGTCACGCTCGTTGCAATGGTGCAGTAACGGTGAGGGCGCTGACCATATTTTAGTTCTTGCGGACCACTAGTGATCCATGGATCACAGGTTGGGAACCACTGATTTAGAGTAAGCATTCTTGGGAAGATGGTTGAGGAATATGTGATTCAACCCCCACCCCACCCCCTTCATTGCATAACTGCAGGAAAACATCAGGAAGAAAAATAAAACTAGTTATCTTTTCTCATTCTTTAAATCCAATACTACCACCGGTATATTGTTATAAGGTGTGTATAAATCCACAGAGCCAGCATGGACTAGGACTCTGGGAGGCCAGGGTTCAAATCGCTATGAAAAACCACTGGATGGCATTGGAGAAGTCACATTCTCTCAACCTCAAAAACAATAGTGGCAAATCCCTCTCTGAAGACGATGCCATGATAGTTTTGCCTTAGGGTCATCATTAAATCGGAACCAACTTGAAGGCACACACAACAACAACACCTTGTTAAATGTTCAGCTGCTATACAAGGTCATTGTATTTTTCAATTTTAGCTCAGTGGTGTTTACTCTGATTGGCCGATGCTCTCCATGATCTCATGCAGGGGGCTTCCACCCTCCCCTCCCCTCCCCCCACAACCTCATCCTTGTAGGCAAAACACACAACAGTAACAACTGTTCAGAGAAGAAAAAAGAGGGAATTTCAAAAAGGGCAGAGGGGTAAAAGAATACATATGATCAGCACAATCTGAATATCCAGCACATAAAACAAAGCCAATATTTTATTAAATTAAGGACAATGATTAACTAATGGAATTTATAATGGTTGCAGTAGCAGTCTCTTAGTGACTTAATAATTAAGTCAAAATATTGATCCAGAATGAAATTCAGCAAGCTGTTCTGAATTTTCTAAAAGTTCTTAAATCAATAGAACTTCATTGCAGCAGGCATTCATCAGCAGGTCCTTACAATCTGCTCACCCAGAAGGGACTCAGCTCTTGGCTTTGCCCTTCTTCCCGGGAAGTTGACCTGTAGCTTCTAGGTATCGGTTAACTAATTCTTCCTGTACGCTGGGTAAACAGGGATGATATCTACTGTATTCCATTGTGTATTCACCTTTCCCCTGAAGACAGAATGTCAATGTTAGGGCAGCTACTATGGAAGATGAGCACAGCAGAAAAGCCAGTCACAACCAAAAGTTATGTGCTATTCCAAAAGAAAAACAACAACATGGCCTGTAGTTCTTACCTTCCATGCAATTCAGAATCTGGCTAAAATGTATGAATTTCAAACTACAATTTTGCACAATTCCACCCCCTCCCCATTTCTCTATATCAAAGATGGGAAGCTTGCTGTCCTCCAAGTGATTCAGACTATACATTTCAAAGTCCATGGTAATCAGATATGTGGAACGACACTTATAGGATCTGCAGTCTATCAGGAGGAAACACAGGTGCACTTCCTCTGGCTCTAGAGACCCTTCATAAATTTAGTTTTCCTGAACTGGCTTTCACTGAGTAGCCACTCTGGACTCTTTCTAGGCATTTATTCAGTCTTCCCCTTCTGCATGATCTTTCTGATTGATTTGCTGCTTTCTAAGAGCAGCCAATAAGAGCTAGCAGTATTTTTGCCCTGCGACTTTAAGAAAGCTCAGGCAACCATTCCAAGAAACTGTGTCACCATCAACATAAAAGCAGGTCTAACGCACTGCAGTAGAGCATAGATTATAGCAAACATGCCTTATTTCTGTACGGGAGATACAAAATCAACAAGCTAATGAATTAAGCACTTACCTCAGTGGATGACCTCAGTTCTGTCGCATATCCAAACATATTGTTCAGTGGGACCTGGCAATAGATTGAAAGTATATTTTATATCAATTTTAGTGGGAAGAAAACTATTTAGCTTTTTGGGAAAACTAAAGTGAAAAGGCCTTGATGTCTAAATATAATCTTTTAGGTTATCATGACCACTAATATAATAACAAATTATTTTTGGTTGTTGTGAAAGAGGAGCAATTTTCATAATGTAGGCCACAAGTGAAATAGTCTGCATCTATACAATTCTACAGGGTTCTGAACAAGACTCCTGAAGATTCTGTATCAAGGAGGAGTAAAGGTCGTTAACTTCTATGAACTGGCCTAACTGCGCTTAGTGCAAACTCCAAAAAGGTTGGAAACAAAATATTTTCAATTTAGCCTCACGCGTTGCCTAAAAAACCAAGGAAGTTAGAAGACGAGTTTACTTTCTAATCTGCAGCCCAGTCTACACCTTTGAATTTAATCACATGTACAGACAAAGCCACTACTGAGTATTCCTTACCTAGATCAACCCTAGGAAATTCATGGGGCCAGCATAGGTGGACAGGTGACTTGAAGGCATATGCAATACTACTGAATAAACTCCAAATAGCTCAACTTGTTTAGGTTGAAATGACATAGCATGGATATCAAGATACATCTGCACAGGATGAGGGTTGAGGATTGCTCACAGCACATCTGTTCTCTAAAGAAGCTCTTCCAATGCCTCCTCACAGCTTTTTAGAAAGGCTCTTTCTAAAGACAAGAGTTTCTGAAACTATGCATACCTGTTTTTATTTGCTGTACAGGACAGCTAAATTGTAGTCAGAAACAATACCACTTCATCTATCCTACACTGTACCATTTCTTTGGAACTTGGACATGTACCTTCAGAGAGAAGGAAAATCTATGGGGAAAAATATCTTACAATTCATCCACTCCACTTGGTTAACCATATCCAACTCTTCAATTCAAACTGGTTTTATGAAGCTTGTTCACAATTTTTATTTATTTATTTACAGCTTTTATATTCCGCCCTTCTCACGCCACAGGGGACTCAGGGTGGATTACAGTGTACACATATATGGCAAACATTAAATGCCAATTTTTGACATACAACATATACCGACATAGACAGAGGTTATTTAACTTTTTCTGGCTGCCAGGGGAGCTGTCGCTTTCATCGTCCATCTGCAACACTGATGAAGTACTTCCACATTCCCCGCATTCTTTTTGCTCGAGTGCTTGCTGGAGTCTTTTTTTTTTTATGGCCTCATAAATTAGTTAATTTAGCCTCCCCACACTTTAAGGTGGTACCTAATTTTCCTGCTTGACAGATGCAACTGTCTTTCGGGTTGCAAAGGTCGACAACAGGCTACACAATTGGTTGGAAACCCACTCCAACCCAGGCTGGCTTCGAACTCATGACCTTTTGGTCAGAGTGATCTTAATGCAGCTGACACTCAGCCAGCTGCGCCACAATCCCGGTGCTACACAATGACACATTCTATGGTGTGGAAGTGTGCAATTCCACATCTAAGCCAGATATTGATTTATTTCATATCAAAAGCATTGCATACATTAGTATAAAACTAATAAAAACAGAAGGAGCACAAGCAGCTAGATAGTTTTTGACCAAAACCAGGCAACAGCGACCATAGCTTTAAACAATTCTTCCTCTGTACACAAGGCAGGGCATTGCAGACAAGCATACAGACATTGTATGTATAATTGTGTGTATGCATAATAGACATTGCTAACTATTATGTCTCTTAATATAGAAGGTATGTCACTTGCTAAGGAAGAGCTACTGGTCAAAATGTCTGAGGACCTTTCGTGTGACATTTTATGTATACAGGAAACACGCAGAGACATCACAAACCAGAGATGGATCCCCTGCTATAGTCAGTAAACCTGGAAGACATCAGAGTGTCTATTTTAACTTCAGTTGTGCAGAAAGGAAGTGAAGGTGGATCTTACATGGCTTTCCATGGACTTTTTCTATAGGCTTCAACATATAAGCCCCCAGTTCAAGACTCTCATTTTGAAAAGCTGCCTGATGGCTAAAATGCCACGCAGGAATGTATTTCATTGAATGAAGCAGAAATGCATGAATCTCCTACTTGGCCTCTTGACGGGACTAACTGTAACACAGGGCAAATTCCTTTCAAAAGTAACTGCTGTGATTGCAGCCCCACCATGTGGACAACCTACAGTCATATTATCGGTCCACATAAGGGTATGGACAGAATTGCTCAAAAGAACACAGAACAAAAAGGACTCCCACATACAACAGTCATTCCCTTCTTGATATACACAGTTTCTCCATCACCAAAATCTATTTTTTTAAATAAAATGTTCACTTTTTAAAATAAAATGTTCACAGACTAAGATGCATTGAAAAAATAAAGTTAGGTTTCATTCTCTGGTAAAGAAAGAGTGGGTTGAATAAACTCTGAAGCACATACATCAGCGTAGAGGGTGAAATAGCCTTCAGTTCCATCTTGCCCAGTGATGATCCCATGGCGTCGATTCACTCCTGAAATCACTGCTCCTTGAAATTCAATGGGTGCCACAATTTCCACAGACATAACGGGCTCAAGAATACACACGGATGCATTCTCCATAACTGTATTTTCCAGAGTACAAAAGAAAAAGTTAGAACACCTCTCTCCCTACACTGGTTTTTCCATTATTTTTCAATTAAAAATAATTATAAGTTGTGTATTTATTATCCGAAGTGCTTGGGACCAGAAGTGTTCCCTCCCCCACCTCAATTTTGTAATACTTCCATTGACATGAGATATTTTGGAAATGGGATGGAAGCTTAAACATGAAATTAATTTATATTTCATATTCATCTTATATAGATAGCCTGAAGGTAATTTTATACATGCTATTATAAACAATTTAGTGCATGAAACAAAGTCTGAAAACAAACTAGAAAGCAAAAGTGTCACTATCTCAGCCACCTATATGGACAATTTTGGATTTTGAAGGACAGATGGTTCCCAAGTTATAAACATCTGACTTACAATTAACTCATACTTAAGAGCGAGGGTGAGACAACAGGAAGTGAGAAAAACGTACTCCTCAGAAGGGAAATTCACTTCTGAAAAAAGTTATTATCATGGGAAATAGGGATCTCCACTGAAGCTTTATCACCAATCTTTTTTTTTTCCCCACAACAAGCCATTTTTTTCAAAATCCAATGATCACAGGGATAAGAAGTGAGGTGAAATCTTCTGAACAGGGGTGCGGACAGCAAAACAAACACCTATGCACATAATTACATATACGGCTGGAGTTACACTTAAAAATGTACCTGTTTCAACTTACATACAAATTTAAATTAAGAACAAACATACAGAATCTATATTGCTTGCAATTTAAGGACTGCCTATATTCAGATTTCAGAATTCAAAATGTACAGTAGAATTAGAAGAACTATAATTAATTGGGCCCCTTCCACCAATGTATAAAACAGCTGCTATTGCACCAAATTCATCGTGCGCCTGTGCATTCCCCCCCCCCCCAAGAAAGATTTGAGAGGCAGATGGAAGTGAGGACTGTGAAAGAAGAGGGAGATGGGGCTCTCATTGCATAAGGAGACAATCACACAAGTAGCACACATACATCAGAATCCTGTAACTACATACACAGAGACATCGGACTATTTGGGCATAGGTAAAGGTAAAGGTTTCCCCTGACATTAAATCAAGATGTGTCTGACTCGGGGGGCAGGGGGGGTACTCATCTGCATTTCTAAGCAGAAGAGCCAGTATTGTCCATAGACACCTCCAAGGTCATGTGGCCAGCATGACTGCATGGAGTGCTGTTACTTTCCCGCAGAAGTGGTACCTATTGATCTACTCATATTTGCATTTTTTGAACTGCCTAACAGCGGGAGCTCACCCCGCTCCCCAGCTTCGAACCAACAACTTTTTGGTCAGCAATTTCAGCAGGTCAGTGGTTTAACCCACTGCGCCACCTTTGGGCATATCATAATACATATATAACCCAATAATATCATAATGTTTATTACAATACAGGTGCATCTATTGACTGCAGCAAAGATCGCTTTTGGAAAGATCTGGAAAAGATCGACTGAAATCAGAGCAATCCATGGATACCTTAGAATTCTTAACATTGCTAAGCTAAGTGATTATCAAAATGCTGACTTGAGCTACCAGCAAACTTGTAAAACATCAAGGCTGGATGACAAATTATACTTCTAAAGCTTCTGACAACATTGATTAAATAGACTGAAAAGTGATGAATTGCATATGTAATCTAGGTAACTGTAGGAAGAAGTGAAGAAAAGACAGAAGGCCTTTGTAGATGAGCTTGAAAGTGTCCTGTCTCTGAAGTCGTACCTTGCTTCAGCGCTCCTTCAGCAGCTCGGATGAAAGAGATTTCATTAGAGTCCACCATGTGATTAGCGCCATCTTCCAAGACAAACCGTATTCCTGAAATCTTGTGACCTGTCAAGGGGCCCTTCTCACAGGCATCACGAAACCCCTAGAAAGAAGGTTACGTGCATTAGTTACTTTCCGTTCCAAGTGGCAGAATTTCTATCTGCTATTAGAAATGGGCAGATAACAAGTATGAAGCAAAACAGTAATGTGCAGTCAAAATATTATGAGACTAAAAAGATTGTGACTAATTTGACAGTGAATGAACTCCTTGAAGGTGTGATGCATTTTTTTGAAATGCAACGTTTGAAGTTCCATAGTTTCAAAGTCCCAATGTATAGTTGACAACAAACTGCAAAGCGACAGCCAACATTGTTGGGTGGAACCTAACCATACAACACCCTTCAAAAGAAGGCAAAGCTTTCGAAAGTGTATTGCACTTCCACTGTTTGCCCCAATGAACACCATACAACAGAAGCTTTGGGCTCTAGTGGTTGGGAATGGATGCTACAAGACAGTCAGCAAAAGATACACAGGCACAGGGAAGATTACACGCCATATATACAACAAGAAATATGTCCACTAAAAATGAAATGTTAAATGCATTCTGAATGGGCATGTAAACCCAAATATAGTTTACTGCAGATTTGGTTTGAAATACATTGCCTAGACAGTAGTGGATGTAACTAGTTTGACCTGATATGATGCCTCTAAGGCCATAGAGTTGTTTGTTGTGTGCACAATCTAGCAAGATTCACTTTTAACAAACTTCCAAACTGTCATTTGGAAGTCTAGTCTCAACACTAAGAACAAACACACACTTTCCTGTGCAGAGGAAATTCCTGTTCTCTCCCACTATCAAAACAGAGAAATCTTATCAGAATATAGAAAATCCAACATTTGCTCTTAATCTGTCCCATCACGAAAAAGAGTTACCGTGATTGGAGGGTCTGCTTAATTTTTAAAGGGAGGAAACTATCATTATTGTTCTCTTTTGGCACATGAGAGCCATATAAACCAGAATATCAAGGTGGATAATCCAATATTACTGGCTTGAACTGGATTATCTGAGAACACACTGCCATATAATCCAGTTAAATGTGGATTTTATACAGATGTGTGGAAGGGGCCTGAGAATGTTCAGAGTAAACCAACACTGAGGACAGGCTGAATGTCTTATTTTGTGTGATTATGAAAGCCAGCAGATAATCAAGTATATAAAATGCAATGTAGTTACCTTATTTCTCTTTGGAAAGACATTATTTCAACGGTGTTTTCCAGAAACACAAGCAGCAGTCAGAATAGAATATGGCCCAAGAATGAGGCACCAGAAAAGCCCAGTGGAAATCATATAGCCCCATCTCCTCCAATCTACTATGTATTAAGAGTTAGGAGGGAGTTTTGCTTTTTTCTATATTATTTTGTACTTTTGTAATGTGCATGTTTTCTTTGCAGTTTTGTTTTTATTTATAATTGCTCTTTTTATATAAATGTTACATGGCTACCCAACTGACATGTTGCTTCACACAATGTCAATTTCCAGCTTGATGTCGTGTTCTACTTGTATTACCAAAAGATACAGTGTTCAGTTTCCCAACGTGTAAACATGATTGGGGGGCGGGGGAATCACCTTTTCAATAACTGGCACAAACTGCTTTGGGACATTTGTTCCAACAGTTCTGTCCTCAAACTCCAGCTTGGTGTAGTTCTCTGGCTCCAGAGGCTCTACAAATCCAATGACCTTTCCATACTGGCCAGCTCCACCAGATTGCCTTTTATGAGTAAAATCAAACCTGCAAAAGACATTTTAAAAGGCGAGTCAGTGTGGAATCTTTGGCTCATGTACTTTGTGTGAAGAGAGACTGAGAGTATAGGCAGTCCCCAAGTTACAAACAGGACAGATTCTGTAGGTTTGTTCTTAAGTTGAATTTGTATGTAAGGCAGAACGGGTACATTATTTAAACATAACTCCAGACATGCATTGGCATAGACACACACACACAAACGTTTTGGATAGGATGATAACAACAACAACAACAACAAGTACATAGGTCAAATTAAAATAACTTAAAATAAAACCACTGCAATTACTAACAACATGTAAGGACGTAACATAACATCAACATCAAAAATAGCTACTCTTGCTGGAATAAAAGCATTAAAATGTTAATAGGGAAGGGTTAACATCCCTGTGGTGTTTGTCTTGCTCTCTGTGCCCCTGTTCAGAAAATTTTCTGTCCCTGTGATAACTGAATTTTAAAATTTGGCTTTTTGTGGAAACAAGGATTGGTGATAAAACTTCTCCTATGATAACTCTTCCAAGAGTGAATTTCCCTTCCATGGGGCAGATTCCTCTCACTTCCTGTTGCCTCAACCCCGTTCTTATTTATTATTTTATTTGTTTACTACATTTATATACCGCTTTCTTCCACTGTGGGAACTCAAAGCTGTTTCCAACATTATAAAGGCAAAATTCAATGCCGTATATACATGTGAAACCAAAAGATAATAGCAAGAAAATAACATATAACTATAAATTAACCTCTCCAGCAAAGGATCACCGCCTTGTCGGGGCGCTGGAGCTTGAGCACCTCAATGATGTCATGAGTGAAACCGTGAAGGGCCACCCAAGACGGGACGGTTGTGGCAGAAAGGTCAGACCAAGCGTGATCCCTGGGGAAGGCAATGGCAAACCACTCCAGTATCCTTGCCAAGAAAACTAAATGGACCAGTACAACCAGAGATATGTCGGTATGCCATTGGAAGATGGGACTCCCAGGTCGGAAGATGGCCAAAATGCTACTGGGGACGAGCAGAGGATAAGTTCAACTAGCCCCAGATGTGATGACGCAGCTAGCTCAAAGCCGAAAGGAAGGCTAGCGGCCGACGGTACTGGAGGTGAACGACGAATCCGATGCTCTAAAGATCAACACACCATAGGAACCTGGAATGTAAGATCTATGAGCCAGGGCAAATTGGATGTTGTTATTGGTGAGATGTCAAGACTAAAGATAGACATTCTGGGGGTCAGCGAACTGAAATGGACTGGAATGGGCCACTTCACATCAGATGACCACCAGATCTACTACTGCGGACAAGAGGAACATCGAAGAAATGGAGTAGCCTTCATAATTAATAAGAAATTTGCTAAAGCGGTGCTTGGATACAACCCAAAAAATGACAGAATGATCTCAATTCGAGTGCAAGGAAAGCCTTTCAACATTACAGTGATCCAAATATATGCCCCAACCACAGCTGCTGAAGAAGCAGAAGTAGATCATTTCTATGAGGATCTGCAGGACCTACTGGATAATACACCAAAAAGAGACATTATTTTCATTACAGGAGACTGGAATGCCAAGGTGGGAAGTCAAATGACAACTGGGATCACAGGCAAGCATGGTCTGGGAGAACAAAATGAAGCGGCGCAGGCTGATAGAATTTTGCCAGGAAAACTCGCTGTGTATAACGAATACTCTCTTCCAACAACCTAAAAGGCGGCTTTATACATGGACCTCACCAGACGGTCAACACCGAAATCAGATTGACTACATCCTTTGCAGCCAAAGGTGGCGGACATCCATCCAGTCGGTGAAAACAAGACCTGGGGCTGACTGTAGTTCAGATCACGAACTTCTTATTGCCCAATTTAGAATAAAACTAAAGAGATCAGGGAAAATACACAGACCAGTTAGATATGATCTCACTAACATTCCTAGCGAATATACAGTGGAAGTGAAGAACAGATTTGAAGGACTAGATTTAGTAAACAGAGTCCCAGAAGAACTATGGACAGAAGTCCGCGACATTGTTCAGGAGGCGGCAACAAAGTACGTCCCAAAGAAAAAGAAAGCCAAGAAGGCAAAATGGTTGTCTGCTGAGACACTGGAAGTAGCCCAAGAAAGGAGGAAAGCAAAAGGAAACAGTGAAAAGGGGAGATATGCCCAGTTAAATGCGCAATTCCAGAGGTTAGCCAGAAGAGATAAGGAACTATTTTTAAATAAGCAATGCATGGAAGTGGAGGAAGACAACAGAATAGGAAGGACAAGAGACCTCTTCCAGAAAATTAGAAACATTGGAGGTAAATTTCAGGCAAAAATTGGTATGATAAGAAACAAAGATGGCAGGGACCTAACAGAAGCTGAAGAGATCAAGAGAAGGTGGCAAGACTATACAGAAGATCTGTATAGGAAGGATAATAATATTGAGGATAGTTTTGACGGTGTGGTGAATGAATTAGAACCAGACATCCTGAGGAGTGAGGTTGAATGGGCCTTAAGAAGCATTGCTAACAACAAGGCAGCAGGAGACGACGGGATCCCAGCTGAACTGTTTAAAATCTTAAAGATGATGCTGTCAAGGTGATGCATGCCATTTGCCAGCAAATATGCAAAACACAAGAATGGCCATCAGACTGGAAAAAATCAACTTATATCCCCATACCAAAAAAGGGAAATGCGAAAGACTGCTCAAACTTCCGTACAGTGGCCCTTATTTCTCATGCCAGTAAGGTAATGCTCAAGATCCTGCAAGGAAGACTCCAGCAATACATGGAGCGAGAGTTGCCAGATGTTCAAGCTGGGTTTAGAAAAGGCAGAGGAACGAGAGACCAAATTGCCAATATCCGCTGGATAATGGAGAAAGGCAGGGAGTTTCAGAAAAACATCTATTTCTGTTTTATTGACTATTCTAAAGCCTTTGACTGTGTGGATCATAATAAATTGTGGCAAGTTCTTGGTGGTATGGGCATACCAAATCACCTTGTCTCTCTCCTGAGGAATCTGTATAAGGACCAAGTAGCAACAGTCAGAACTGACCACGGAACAACAGACTGGTTCAAGATTGGGAAAGGCGTACGGCAAGGCTGCATCCTCTCACCCAACCTTTTTAACTTGTATGCAGAACACATCATGCGATGTGCGGGGCTTGATGAATGCAAGGCTGGGGTGAAAATTGCTGGAAGAAACATTAACAACCTCAGATATGCAGATGACACCACCCTGATGGCCGAAAGCGAGGAGGAGCTGAGGAGCCTTCTAATCAAGGTGAAAGAAGAAAGCGCAAAAGCCGGGTTGCAGCTAAACGTCAAAAAAACCAAGATTATGGCAACAAGAATGATTGACAACTGGAAAATAGAGGGAGAAACCGTGGAGGCCGTGACAGACTTTGTATTTCTAGGTGCAAAGATTGACTGCAGATGCAGACTGTAGCCAGAAAATCAGAAGACGCATACTTCTTGGGAGGAGAGCAATGTCCAGTCTCGATAAAATAGTGAAGAGTAGAGACATCAGACTGGCAACAAAGATCCGCCTAGTCAAAGCCATGGTATTCCCTGTAGTAGCCTACGGATGTGAGAGCTGGACCTTAGGGAAGGCTGAGCGAAGGAAGATCGATGCTTTTGAGCTGTGGTGTTGGAGGAAAGTGCTGAGAGTGCCTTGGACTGCGAGAAGATCCAACCAGTCCATCCTCCATGAAATAAAGCCCGACTGCTCACTGGAGGGAAGGATACTAGAGACAAAGTTGAAGTACTTTGGCCACATCATGAGGAGACAGCAAAGCCTAGAGAAGACAATTATGCTGGGGAAAGTGGAAGGCAAAAGGAAGAGGGGCCACCCAAGGGCAAGATGGATGGATGGCATCCTTGAAGTGACTGGACTGACCTTGAAGGAGCTGGGGGTGGTAACGGCCGACAGGGAGCTCTGGCGTAGGCTGGTCCATGAGGTCACGAAGAGTCGGAGACGACTGAACGAATGAACAATAACAATAAATTAACCTAACCAAATTAAAACATAAGCATAAAAGAACATTTAGACATAAAACATAAACATTAAGCATCAATAATATAATAACATTATATTAAAACTCACAATTAACAACACAATTTTAAAACATTTATTAAAATCATGCCATCCAAAATCAAGTCCGTAGTGTACTACGAGCTTTGCTGTCTGAAAGCTTGGTCACATAGCCACATTTTTACTTTCTTCCTGAATGTCAGGAGAGGGAGCTGTTCTAATTTCACTAGGGAGGGTGTTCCATAGTCAAGGGGTCACTAGTGAGAAGACCCTGTCTCTCATCCCCACCAGTTGTGCTTGCGAGAAAAGTGGAATCAAGAGCAGGGCCTTCCCAGATCTCAATCTCCGAGGTGGATCATAGAAGGAGATACATTTGGAAGGAAATACGGAACTGTTTAGGGCTTTATAGGCTAAAGCCAACACTTTGAATTGTGCTTGGTAGCAGACTGGCAGCCAATAAAGCTGGTGTAACAAGGGAATTGTATGTTCCCTGTACGATGCCTCAGTTAGAAATCTGGCTGCTGCCTGTTGGACCACTTGAAGTCTGACCAGGAGGACCTCTGTCTTGTCTGGATTCAATTTCAATTTGTTCGCCCTCATCCAGACAGTCACAGCTGCAAAGCACCGGTTCAGGGACTGGATAGCCTCTTTAGTAGCAGGTGGAAAGGAGTGATGGAGTTGGACATCTGCATACTACGAGTCATTGGTAATTAGGACATTTGTAATCTGGGGACTGCCTGTACTGATTTCACTGTAATGATTTCAAAATGGAAAATCCCTTTAAAGGGAGAAGATATATGGTGGATTGCCAAAAGTTCCTAACAGTCCCAATGATGAAGGAGATGCAGTCCAATAGGATCACAATAAGACACATTTCTATCCATTATAGAAAATGTACTTACAGCTTCCTCTCACAAAAAAAAAGAGATAAAACATAGAATCATAGAATAATAAAGTTGGAAGAGACCACATTGATCATCTAATCCAACACCCGTCATGAGGGGAAAGCACAAAGTACAATGTCCTCTTTAATTTTGGGGTACTTACTTAGAAAGTATTTGTTACACTCCAGAATTGTGGCTGCCACAAACTACTGTATGTTGAATTGGTTGAGACTCAATGAGATATTCATTGAAAAATTATTGCAAAATGTGCTGCAAAGATGTCCCTCCCACAAAAAACCCTAAACTTTTGCAACTTTAATAAACGTAATTAAATAACCCTAACCCTTGATCAAGGATTCAAATGTGAAGAGAGCACGAGAGAGCACGGATGAGCTTCCCCTGTCAGCTCCAGCTCCCCATGTGGAGACATGAGAGAAACCTCCCACAAGGATGTTAAAACATCAAACATCCGGTGTCCACTGGGTAACGTCCTTGCAGATAGCCAATTCTCTCATACCAGAAGCAGTTTCTCAAGTCGCTCCTGACACACACACAACACCCAAAACCCAGGAACCAAAATCATGTTACAAAGTGTTGTTGTTATTGGTAGATGGTAGATAAGTGTAGTTTCTGCTTGCTGGAAAGTTAATATTAGAAACAAGTCAAACTAATTCTATACTCCATACTATACAGTAGGCAAGGGCAAACTCTGGCCCTCCGGGCATTTCGGACTACAACTCCCACAATTCTTAACAGCCTACCGGATGTTAGGAATTGTGGGAGTTGTAGTCTGAAACACCCAGAGGGCCAGAGTTTGCCCTTGCCTGCTATACATCATGCCACAGACAGGCATCCGGCTCCTTCCCTGAGGCCCTCCAGCTGTTTTGGCCTCCAACCAGGGCCGTAGCCAGAAAATTTTTTTGGGAGGGGTTGAAATTTTGGGGAGGGGGTTGAAATTTTCGGGGGGGTTGAAACCTGCCTCCTAGCTCACGCTGAAGTGAAGAGCACAGCAGGGGGCAGAGCAGCCTTCAATAACCTTCAGCTCCCTGTCAACCACCTCCACCAAGTCTGGCCTCCTTAATGAGAGCATTCAACACCCCTCCCTACTTGGTTGCTTCACTACATCGGCTATTGCTGCAAGTAATGGCAGTGTGAATAAATTCAAAGTGCTGCTTCTAGCCTATAAAGCCCTAAACGGTTCTGGCCCAACTTACCTGTCCGAACGTATCTTCCCTTATGAACCATCTAGGACCTTGAGATCGTCCGGAGAGGCTCTGCTCTCGGCCCCGCCTTCATCACAGGTACGTTTGGCAGGGACAAGAGACAGGGCCTTTTCAGCGATGGCTCCCCGGCTATGGAACACCCTCCCCAGAGAGATTAGATTTGCTCCCTCCCTCGTGGCTGTTCACAAACACAGCAAGTGTTCACAAACACAGAGTAACAGATATGGACAACTGATATAGGAACAGATAACTGACGATGGAATTGGACAATACTTGACAATAAGGGACGCCAATGATGTTGTTTTTATTGCTGTTGTGATTTATGTAATTTTAATGTTTTTAAATTGTATTGTGATACTATGTATACTGTTTTGTTGGAAACCACCTTGAGTTGCCGATAGGCTGAGAAAGGTAGTATACAAATACAGTAAATAATAATAATAATAATATTGTCAATATTTGCTTGAGATAGTGCTTGCAGTTCTGGAAGGACTCTTAATTTTTTGCATCTCATAGACTTAGCACGGGGATTTGGTTAACCAGTTAAAATTCATAAGTAAACCAGGTTTTTTTTTAATCTGAAACATTTCAGGGGGGGGGGGGTTGAACCCCTAACCCACCTACCCCTCGCTACAGGCCTGCCTCCAACCACCAGAATTCCTGAGAACGGAACAAGCTGGCTAAGGCTTCTGGGAGCCGGAGGCCCAAACAGCTGGAGGGCCGCAGTTTGAGGATTCCTGGCCTAGCATAAACTCTGTATTGACTGTATTTACGAATTTAGCACCAAAACATCACAATGTATTGAATCTGACTGTGAGAGCTGTTCAGCAGTGGAACTCTCTGCTCTGGAGTGTGGTGGAGGCGCCTTCTTTGGAAGCTTTTAGACAGAGACTGGATGGCCATCTGTCGGGGGTGCTTTGAATGCAATTTTCCTGCTTCTTGGCAGGGGGTTGGACTGGATGGCCCATGAGGTCTCTTCCAACTCTAGGATTCTATGACTTGATATCAATATTGAAACGCAGGAATTAAAAGCCAATGAAGACCAGCCTTAGTTTTTCCCCGCCCTGGAATAGTCTGGGCGCCCTTCCAGCGCGGAAGCAAGCCGGGCTCCTTCCCTGCCTTCTTCCCGGTTCAGATGGGGCTCCTGGGAGGGAAGAGGCGTCGGCGGGGCTGCTGGGTCCCCGCCCGCTTCCTCCTCCTGCTTCTCCTCCTGCTTCCTGCTTCCCTGGCTGGAAGTGCCTCGGCCAGCAACGCGGGCGACCCTTCTTCTTCCTCCCCAGCTTCGCCCCGCAGCCCCGGCATGGAGGGCCAGGAGGAGGAGATCCCGCGGGGCAACTACCCGGCCACCCGGGCGGCCCGCCTGGTCGCCCACTACATCAACGCCCAGCGGGGCAGCCCCAGCAGACTCTTCCAGGTGCCGGCGGTGCACCAAGCGAGGAGAGAGGTAAGAGGAGAGACACCCAAGGCACGGGAAGCGCTCTTTTGGCGGAGAAAGAGAAACTATAGCTCCCACGACCCCATGGTATCCAGCCATGGCTATCCCAAGGCGGTGTCCGCCTGCTAGGGAACGCTGGGAGTTGTAGATTTGCAAGGCCTTCTCTGCCACAGAGGGCTGATCCCTCACTATCAGCAAAGCCCTTAGAATTGAGCCACAAGGAAAAGCCAAAACAACACAAAGAACAAAACAAAACAAAAAACCAGACAGGACATCCTCAATTGCTTAAATAGTGCAGGCATGGGCAAAGTTTGGCCCTCCGGGTGTTTTGGACTGCAACTCCCACAATTCCTAACAGCCGGTAGGCTGTTAGGAATTGTGGGAGTTGTAGTCCAAAACACCCGGAGGGCCAAACTTTGCCCATGCTTGCAGAATCACAGAGTTGTAAGAGACCTCGCGGGCCATCCAGTCCAACCCCCTGCCATGAAGCAGGACAATCCCATTCAAAGCACCCCTGACAGACAGCCATCCAGCTTCCTTATAAGAAAAGGTATAAAGGTAAAGGTTTTCCCCTGACGTTAAGTCCAGTCGTGTCCGACTCTGGGGGTTGGTGCTCATCTCCATTTCCAAGCCAAAGAGCCAGCGTTGTCCGTAGACACCTCTAAGGTCATGTGGCCGGCATGACTGCATGGAGCACCGTTACTGTCCTGCCAGAGCGATACCTACTGATCTACTCACATTTGCATGTTTTCGATCTGCTAGGTTGGCAGAAGCTGGGGCTAACAGCGGGAGCTCATCCCGCTCCTCAGATTCGAACCTTTGATCTTTCAATCAGCAAGTTCAGCAGCTCAGCACTTTAATTCACTGTGCTACCGGGGGCTCCAAATAAAGCCTCCTTATAGCATTACTTATTATTTATTAATTTATTTAAAACATGTACAGTAGAGTCTCACCTATCCAACATAAACAGGCCGGCACAACGTTGGATAAGTGAAAATATTGGATAATAAGGAGGACTTAAGGAAAAGCCTATTAAACGTCAAATTATGTTATGATTTTACAAATTAAGAACCAAAATATTGTGTTTTACTGCAAATCGACAGGAAAAGCAGTTCAATACACAGTAACGTTATGTATGTATCTAATTACTATATTTACGAATTTAGCACCAAAACATCACAATGTATTGAAAGAGCTATGGATCCGGGTAGGAGGCAGACTGCGTTGGATAATACAGAAAGTTGGATGAGCGAAGGTTGGATAAGCGAGACTCTACTGTATATTCCACCCTTCTCACCCCAAACGAGACTCAGGATGGAGCACAACATACAAATGGCAAACATTCAATGCCGGGACATAAATAAGATTGTACACGTACATAAGCATTAAAATCATTTATCTAGACATTAAAATCCACTATTTAAAACCATCTCTAAAGGCATTAAGCCTTTAGCCTTTGCTGTCAAATAACGCCAGCACCTCGCCAAACTATAACTCCCAGTGTGGACAGTCCACCTGAGCGTTTCCACTTGTGATGTCCTCTGCTGCCACCACACTCTTGTGATCTCAACCTTTGGTTACTGTTGCTATTCCCACAAAGCAGAAACAAATCAAGGCCATGGCAGCAATATAGGGATACCCTCCTAACACTTATCCAGCTCACTGACAGTGGAAAACAATAATCCAAACAACAATAATAGACCTCACAAGTTCTGAGGATGCTTGCCATAGATGCAGGCGAAACGTTAGGAAAGAATGCTTCTAGAATATGGCCATATAGCCCAAAACACACACAACAACCCAGTGATTCCGGCCATGAAAGCCTTCGACAATACAATAATTCCTAAGACTGGTTACCTCCGGGTTCAGCAATATTGGACTGCAACATCCATCCAGGCATCGTTGGAGTTGCAGTCTAACAACATCTGGAGCCCCTCCCTCTCACTCAATGCAAATGAAGACATTCATCCGCTCCTTAGGCCTGATTCCTTGATCAAATTATAACCCATACAGAAGTCGTCTGATTGTCAAAGGCTTTCATGGCTGCAATCGTTGGGTTGCTGTGAGTTTTCTGGGCTGTATGGCCATGTTCCAGAAGCCCAGAAAACTCACAGCAACCCGTTTGATTGTATCTTTGGGCAAAATGAATGATAACTTCCTAATTAAGCTGTGCCTCCTCATATCTCTCCATATCTGTGCCCCATGAGCATTATCACTCTCTTGTGATCTCAGCCGTTGGTTAGGAAAAGACAGCTAGTTGTTGCTTCTAATCATAAGATACCATCCATTAAACTGAAGACTTTTAAATTCCACTTATTATATCAGGAGAGAACTAAATATGTCACTTTCCTTATAAAATCAAGGTAATATTATATGTCCTCTTTTTGTTTTCGTCTGTAGATATAAGATTGCTTGTTTTTCAACAATGCTACCTGAGTCTGGTAAAATATTAATAATATGCAAAACTATTATTTTCTTTTTGTAAAGCGCATTCCAGGAGTTGGAAATAAATACCATCTGAAGGTTTCACTGGAAGAGGCCCTTCAGAAAGTAAGTCCTACTTATTTATTAATCATGTCTCTTGCATGTGTGTGTGTGTACATGTTTTCCGACTGGGACATTCTCTAACAAAATTTAAAATGGAACAAAATTGGATGACCACAGTACACTCTCATATTTGTACTTCCTACCTATAGCTCTACAAAGCTCTCTCTCTCTCTCTCTCTCTCTCTCTCTCTCTCTCTCTATATATATATATATATATATCTTTAAAGTCCATTTTTTAACAATCAAAACACCTAGACTTATCTTTCATGCATGAATTTCATATACACTTTTTGAATACTTGAACTACGGTCCACAGGACACCAGGCCAGATTTTTTCAGACAAGCAGCCAAGCTCTGTTATTAACTCTGTAAAAACTCCTACCCTTTCTATGAGTATTTTTGGCACAATTATAGAGGAGTCAGTCCTGCAGCACTGACCATCCACCACACAGGATTCTATAACAGAAAGACTATGATATTATTTATCTGTATAATTCCAGGCATCAAGAGTTAGCATGGTGTTGTGGCTTCAGGGCTTTCGGAAATACACTAATACCCTGACTTATGAGTTTAACTCATTCTGTGACTGAGCTCTTAACTGAAAACACTCTTTATCTCCAAGCTAATTTTTCCACTGAAATGGTTTGAAGCCGTTCCAGCCCCCCAACCCCCCTTTTGTTACATGTTTATAAATAAGAAAATGTACTTTATAAATAACAAATATTGTATAAAAGCACACTCACATAGGACAATAAAAAAGAAAGTTCAACTTTAAAATAGTAAAAGCACAAAGTTGTGGTAAGGAAGCACAAGGTGAAGAGACAGAAACATCCCTTGTGGCGCAGCTGGCTGAGTGTCAGCTGCATTAAGATCACTCTGACCAAAAGGTCATGAGTTCGAAGCCAGCCCGGGCTGGAGTGGGTGTCCAGCCATTGTGTAGCCCGTTGTCGACCTTTGCAACCCGAAAGACAGTTGCATCTGTCAAGTAGGAAAATAAGGTACCACCTTGTGTGGGAGGCTAAATTTAACTAATTTATGAGGCCATAAAGAAAAAAGACTCCGGGGAATGTGGAATGCGGAAGAACTTCATCGGTGTCGTTGATGGACGATGAAAAGCAGCAGCTCCCCTGGCAGCCAGAAAAAAAAAAGTTAAATAGCCTCGGTGTATTTGTGTGTTAAATGTTGTTTGTCAAACTGGCATTGAATGTTTGCCATATATGTGTTTACTGTAATCCGCCCTGAGTCCCCTGCGGGGTGAGAAGGGCGGAATATAAGAACTGTAAATAAATAAATAAATAAATAAATAAATAAATACTGTACTCATTCCAGTCTCCCTTCCTCCCTCTCTTGTTCTCTCTCCCTCTTTCTTTTTATGAATCCAAACATCCCAGGAATAAAAAAACACACAAAATAATCTAAACCAAAGTTCCTTAAAGCAGAAAAAAGCAAAACAGACAATTTACCAAAATGGACAAGAGCACGAGGCACGGAGGCTGCTCCTTTGAAGCCATAAAGTCTCACACTAGCACTCCCTCTGGGACTACGTTTTAACTCAAAATGCTGCTCTTATGTCAAAGCTAAACTCAGGCTGAGCAACAACTCTTAATTAAAAACGTTATTAAGTTGAGATGCTCTTAAGCAGCAATTCTACTGTATACTTTCAAGTTCCTACTAAAGGTTTAAATGCACTGGGTGACCATGGGTCATTAGTTACATTGCAGGGCTGTTAGGAGGATAAAGGGTGGAGTACAAGAGTCCTATTTGTTGCCCTAAACACACTGAAAGACAAGTTAGAAATATAACTAATAATAAGCACAAAGTTGTGGCAAGGAAGCACAAAATGAAAAGGCAGAAGCATCCCTTTCTTCATACTGTACTCATTCCAGTCTCCCTCCCTCCCTCTCTTGCTCTCTCTCCCTCTTTCTTTTTATGAATCCAAACATCCCAGGAATAAAAAACCACACAAAATCAGAGCAGTTGGGTAAAAAGAGATGGTGGAGAGAGAATCTACATGACATTTTTCTTTAAATTCAGAGTAGTCCTCAGTTATTGTGAGTATTCAAGATTCACAGTAGGATGTGGGCAAAGGAAAATGCATGACTGTTCTAACAGAAAGATATATCTTTGAGATATCTTAAACAGTATCAAGTATAAAAATGAAGTAAAAATCTATGCTAGCACGTTTCAGTGAATTTTTCCCATGTTAAATGTTTTTCCCCCAACAGGGAAGTCCTGTGAACTGCACGGCTGAGATTCTTTATCATCACGGTGACCCACATGTTGCTGCAGAAGTGCATTACACTGTGGAAGGGGAGCTTGAGATCAATACAGACGAGGCAGATAACAAGTTTTACAACAAGATCAAGAATCTTTCTGAACCACTAGAGGCACAAAAAATCCCAGGTTTTTTAAAAAAGATTTTTTATGACTTGAGATTGTACTTTCTGAATGTTAAACAGAAGTTCTGAAATATCGCAAATGAAAAAAAATGGTACAGTGTAGTCTCTTTCCTCACTGATGTGCTCCAGTAAGAGCTCCAGCTTCCCCTCTATATATGTGTGTTTTTGCATCATACATGGCTATGTAGCAGTAGTTTTACAACAGAAATAATCAATCTTGTATCACTTTAAAAACTAACAGTAGCCAATTTCTTGTGGCATAATAATAATTTACTATGACCTATGCTTCATAGGATAGAGTCAGTTTCATCAGATGCATGGAATGTCACCATGAGCTGGTAGGAAAAAAAAGTTAGCTGTGGGTTTATTATGGAAATGCATGACCCAGTAAGTTTGGTTCTTAACATCTTTATCTGACTTGCTCTTTCTGCAAACATTTTTCTCTTTCTCACATCCATGTGCATCTATATCTAGCAATTCAAACTGACATTCTATGAGTCTGAGGAAGTAGACTCTGGTCCACAAATGTCAGAATACATTAATTGAGGATAAATTAAGCAAATCATCATAAGAGTTCATCTAAAAAGTGATATTGGAAGAGAGCTTTATGTATAAAATCTACTGCCAAAAATCTGAGTAAACATCTGAGTGCAAATCAAACCCAAACTCTCCCTATTATCTAAAATAGTGGAACTAAGGCTTTTGTTCTTTGGACATCTTATAAAATAGTATGACTCACTGAAAAATAATGTTCAGCAAAGTGGGCGGCAATAAGAGGAAAGCCACATATTTGCAAGTCCTGAGCAGGGCTTTTAATTACAGGGTGGGGTGGAGTCTCCCATTTTGTAAGAAAAGACCAACTTGACAAGCATTCAAAACAACCACCATCTGATTCATTTGTTTGTTTGTTTTGATGAAATAAACTAACATAGCTCGTTCTGAGGAATGTTGCTATATTTCATTTTAAGAAGCTATCCTTCATGTGCAAAGCTGATTTGCAATGCAAAATTTGGAGAAAGTTCATATCCAGTTTTAATGTAATCTCTACAGTTACAGTATAGTTGGGTGGGGGAAAAAGAACAGATTTCCTTATTCAGAAATACAAATCCAAAATACTCCAAAAACAAACAAAAAATAGCCAGCAGTTCCCACTTCCACCTTTGTGGAGACGGGGACAGTCGCATATTCAGCACATGCTGAGCTTTCTCCAAGTGGCCTGGGTGGAAAACATACAAGGAGGGAAAGGGCAAAGCAACTCCATTGGCTGCCATCTGCATGCAACACAGAGAGAATAAAGAAGACTCACAGAAAAGGGGTGTTAATTTGCTACTCCCTTCCTGGCTACTGTGCCTGGGACATCTTTTTTTCAGAGACCTTGCATAAGCTGAGCCCCCCCCCTCCTTTTTCCCCGTTAGAACAACTTGAGGAAAAATTCAGTGGATGCTGGACATGTGACTAGCCCTCCCCCTTTCCCCCTATCTATTTAACTCTGTAAATGCAGATACAAGTATTCCAAATGTGAAAAACCTCTCATCCCAGTATTTTGGGTAAAGGAGATTCAACCTATACATATATATTATTTCAACAGGGAGTGAAGGTTATAAATTATTACAATACCCATGCCTTCCTTCTACATGAATCCTGGTCATAATACCCTAGCCATGTTGTCTCTCCCCGCCCAAACCCCATACCTTAACATTTCACCAAATACAAGGCCATGATACGACTAAAGAGTAAAGAGCACCAACTGCACCAAATGGCACAAGGCCCATTTACATACGGTTTACTGAACTGCAAAGGCTTTCTGGGGGACAATAAGGCATATAAGTTTTTATATAATATCTAGGGAAACATCAGACTTTCCATATCTCAATATTAACTTTGTTTCTGTTACCAGACAATTATGGAAATATGGCGGCGGAAATGGAGCCTGTTCGGAATTTAGCCCTTATTGCCTGTGCACATGTAATATGGCAGATTTCCACAGAAGACACATTGTACAACTTGGCACAAATTGAAAGTGTCAAGCAAGTGGTAAGTTAGCTTCACTCGAAAGTGCTTTAAAAGTGGATTTCTTCCAGAAGCTGTTAATGAGATGATCTCATTAACATTAACCACCATCTACACAATGCTATTTTTAGAATTTATGTGGCTAAAATGACCAGAAAAGCAAAACAAATTCCCTCACTTGTTTATTCAGCTCTTCAGCCTTTTAAGTTCAATGAAAACATTTGCAATTAGCTCTGTGCTTACTAAAGTGGAATATTCTCGCCTTCCTTTTGTTGATTTCAGAAGAGAAAAGATGACTACCTTGAATTTTCCTTTGTTGTTTTACTTCATGATATGGTCTCCCAGGTAAGCAAGTTTACATATCAGTTTGCTTGTTTGGGGAGGGTGGTTAAGAGCCTTCCATGCAAAAAGGTTATGGTAATCAATACTACTACAAAGGACATGAACAACTAAACAGAAATTAAAACTTCCATTGTTTGTCTTCTGAACCAATTACTTATACAGGTAGTTGTCAAGTTCCAAACAAGATACTGTAGGTTCTGCAGGTTTGTTCTTAAGATGAAATTGTATTTAAGCCAAAACAAGTGCATTTTTTAAGTGCAACTCCACTCCCACCCCCCACAAAAGCTTTGGATAGCATAGAGAAGGGTTAACACCCCTGTGGTGTTTGTTTTGCTGTCTGTGCCCATTCAGGAGATTTCACTGCACTTTCTGTCTTGTGAGAACTTGATTTTAAAAAAAAAAAAATTTGGCTGGTTGTGGAAACAAGAACTGGTGAAAAAACTTCAGTGGAGACCCCTTTTCCCCATGATAACTCTTTCAGGAGTGATTTTCCCTTCCAAAGGGTAGATTTCCTGCAATTCCTGTTGTCTCACCGTCGTTCTTAACTATGAGTCATTTGTAAGTTGGATGTTTGTAACTTGGGGACTGCCTTTTGTGCCTTTTATGGGGTAACAGTAATAATAATGATGATGATAATAGTGATAATCATCATCATCATCATCATTTTATTTCTCCTCATGGCTTGATGCGAGTTAAAACACAGTCAAAAACATAGGGTTATAATGGACTTGAAAATTATCAGAAATTAAGGCAGAAACTTCTTTCCATAGGTCTACTTCAGTGATAGGCTATTTTCATTAAAGAAAGAAAACTGCTGCATTCAATTCACAGCATTTCTAAGGTTAACCTCTAATGGCCTATGGAAAAGATCACCCTAAAGTTTGTTTGTTTTTTTTTTGTTTTCAAACTCTGCCTAATGCTTTGGCCACAATTTGCCCACATAAGTCTGAATTAATTATATAGATAACCTATTTATATATTAGAGATCTGGAAAAGTTGACTTTAATCCAACAGTGTGTGGAATTATTTGTCATTATTCATCTACCTTCTGGATTCTTCTCATTTGTAGCTTATTATACTTCATAAACATACAAATGGGAAAATGATGAGAGAGAGAGAGAGAAGAAAAAAATGCCACCTGACATGAGCATACTAGATTAATAAATGATTTTTGTCAGAAGACCAGATCTGAATTAAAGCTCCCTGGGTCTCCTAATGTTTAGATTTTACTAACTTCTGGTGCTATTTTATCCACAGGAAATTATTCCTTGGCATATGCAAGTTCTATGGCATCCACAGCATGGAGTGAAAGTAACACAGAACAGCCGTCAGCCAAAGCGTGCAGCTCAATAGCTTCACGTCTTCTATGCTACTCTTAGAGCTTTTTGAAACAGTTTTTAAAGCAACTATATACAGAAAACAATAGTTACACAATAGGCTTATTCAGCTTCAAAAACATTTCCAATTCTATGCATATTGTGAAAACCAAAGCAAACATATTGTGACGTTAGTTTGGTGGTTCTTGCTTGTCAGTTAATACTTACGGTACAGTTGACACAATGCTTTCTCTAAAGGCGACTTTAGGCTTTCCAGTAACACAAGGACAACCATATTCTCTTTCCATTCGCTGAGTAAAAACATACACATATATACTGATTAAAATAGGCTGCAAATACATTCAGCCAAGCTAAAGAAATCAACATATGAATATTTAATGTTATTTACAATCATATATGAAACAAAATCCAAAATCTGATTTTTGTTGAGATTTTTCTTTATAAAAAACTATATTATATTATATTATATTAGCAAGCTCCCACTCGCTTCAAAGAAGATACTTTTATCCATATCCTGTAATTATGAAAAAAGAACCTTGAATCCCAACCAATATTTCACAAATTGTAACCAGAAGAAAATATTAACTTAGGTCCAATTGCTAAAGTTGAACCAATGCTATACAGTTTACAACATTCTTCTGCCTGGAACCAGTGAAAAAAACTAAGTTAAAATAAAGAAATACTTTCTGAAACAAAAGTTAAAGTCAGTTATATAGTTCATCAAAGCACTCTTAATTATCACCTGAGCATAGATTTCCAGATGTAGTTCTCCCATTCCTGAAACGATGGTCTCTTTGCTCTCCGTATCAAAATGTACTCGGAAAGTGGGATCTTCCCTTGTAAAGCGATTTATACCTTTTGAAAACTTATCCAAATCATTCTAGATTAAAGATAATTGTGTAAATTAATGTGTTGAATTTTAATCATTTCATAAACAAAACCCCCAAGTTGCTGACCATCCAGTAAAATTATTATTAGTCCAATATTTATTTATCTCTCATCTCTTTTTCAGTTTGTGATGCAGAGCAGCTTACAAGAGTTAAAACAAACATAGCTAAAAATTCACCTTGTGCAATGGTTTCAAAAATAATTTAACCAGTTAATAATAATAATAATAATAATAATAATAATAATAATGACTTTATTCTTGTACCCCGCCTCCATCTTCCCAATGGGACTCGGGGCGGCTGACATATAGCACAAAGTGCCTTAAAATAAACACACAGACTTAAAATAAATACACAGAACAATACATAAAGTAAAACATATAGGAAATAAAACAACACCCAATTAAAAACATAACCATTAAAAAGAAAGCAGTAAATATACAATGCAGTATGTTATGCAAGGTAACAAATCTAAAATGCACCATATTATGCAAGGTCCATTCCCTTTCAGTAGACATCTTCAAAAGCATTCCAGAACAAAGACAACAAAAACTTGCAACCTCAATAAACTGCTAGAGGCTTACGCTGGCTTCACAGTCTTTAACTTCTCTCACTCAAGCCAATGTTGACATTGGCTAGGATGTAAACAACACAAGCATACATATGCATACTTTCTGTTAAAACATAAAGCCTAATTATTCCTGAACACACTTGGTAAATGTAGTTAAACCTTGGTTATTTCTTCTCAAATCAAATCACAGTATTTTCCCCCAAACTAGATATAATATGATTTACTTTTTTAAAACTTCAGACTCTTTACCTTGTTTGATGCTGACATTGCTACTGAAATGACAGGATCAGGAACATGAATAGATTCCTGCACAAAACAAAAGAGAATGACTATTTGTCAGTTTAAAAATCTCAAAATGACTCTTTACAGAAATCGATATTCAAATTACTGTGTGCTCAAAAATACTCTTGTGTATACATTCCATGAAGAAAGCATTCTGAATAGATGACCTTCAGATTTTCTTCTTGCCTGATGAATTTGTTCTCCTATTAAATTCAGTCTGTTCTAGAATAATCTTGGTACAATAAATCATGGTTTATTAAAAGAATACCCAAATCTCTCTTCTGTCACTGTCCATAATTCAAAACTTCCAGATTTTGTTAAACCAGACTTTCACACTGGAGGATCACATCCAAGTTTGAAAACTTGGCAGTCAGAGATTTCACCCAATCTGGAGTTAATAAATACGGTAGGTTTAATAAACCACAAAAGCTGTGTATTATGGAAGTAGTAAATATGCTTAGGCAGATGCTTGCTCTGCTGCGATGATACCAGAACTGGGCCTTGCTCCTACCAGAAATAACTTGACCATTGGAAGATGTGAGTGAATTCATTTCACTTTGGGCCTGTTCAGGTGATACTTTATATCTAACAACTTATATGAAGGGCACATATTTATAGCTGGCTTACACAATATTGTTTCGACTTTCTCTTTGGGGGATGAACTACAGAGAAATCCCATGTTCAGGTAAGCATAGGTTCTCCCTGTTTCATTCATTCATGTCACTATGATGAACTGGGCAGGTGGGCAGCGGTCATCAAGTCTGCTTTGTTTCCCTGCTCTCCTGACTTGCTGTCTATAACGTATTAGAATACTGGAGTCAAATCATGTCCTAAAACATGCTATCAAAATTCCTCCTTCTCTTGAAAAACCTTGGGATTTTAGGCAGTACTGCATACCTAACAGAATCTGAAACTTAAAAACAAAACAGAGTTGTATTCATTGCATTACATAGCCCTGACCATGCCCTTTCATGCTACCGGAACATAAATTGTTAGTATGATCTTCATACTGTCATGTTTTTAGTTTTTATTAAGTTTGTGACAGTTGTAAAACTAATGTTCAAACATTGCTCTCCTAAAACACTGTAAAGATGACATTTTGATGAGGAAGACAACAGAGTAACCTTTTAGGAATTCAGGGTGAAAAGCCAGAGATAGTTTTAAATTAATCTAACTGCTTCCATCTGCTGACTTCTCCTGTATATAGTTCTGGAGGATTGAAAGACTCATTAGTGGAGATCTGTAGGAAGCCACTGAAGGCAGAAGGGAAGGACAAAGTCCTGTTGAGTGAGTAGTCTCCCATTTCTACTGCTCTGGAAAGCTTCCTAAATCTAAATAAAGCAACAGCAGGTCAACTAAGGGAAAACTTACCATGGAAAGGTCAGTGCTAGATTTATCTGTAAATGTATCACCACTGGCACAATCAATGCCAAACAATGCACAGATATCACCTGCATAAACTTCTTCCACATCCTAGCAAAGCAAAAAGAATTTTAGGTACTCTTTCAAGTATTATACAAGAGCAATTATTAAAGAAATGACAAGAGAGAGCAAATGCTACAGCATCAAGTGAAGTCTGCAGTCACTGTATAAGTTCACTGAACATAGGCTGGTAGCCATTCTGTAACAGCAGTAAGAGCTGCATATCAAGGTTATTTTTGATTATCAGGAGAAAAAGACATTCAGTCTAACAAGTATAAAAAGCACCCAGAATCTAAATCTAATAAAGCATATGCATAAAAAACACATGGCAGTCACAGAATTTCCATCATAGATGCATAAAGGAAACTGGCTCAGCATTTCTCAACTGCAGTCTTCCATGGTACTGGAGCCTTGCCAGGCTTCTCATAACAACATGAAATTCAATCTTAAACAGCATCTGCAGATGACCATGGATTTAGATTTCTGTTTCCAGATTGCAGGGTTAATAGCAGGGATGATTTAACTTCCCCTTTAGGCAAAAAAGTAAAATTATCTCTTCTGAAAATCTCTGGGAATAGATTGCATGGCCCTTGCACTATTTAATATTAGAAAATACATTTTTTCCAAACCAGAAGTGGACTGATGGTCGCTTCCAGTTTTGTTTTGCTTTCTACTTGGGGACATTTAAACTATCCTTTAACTTCCAGAATGTCCCAGATGCCAAGAACCCCTCTAGACATGGCACGTTTGCTCATCCCTGGTGCAGAGACACAGTCCCTATTTGTAACTGGACCTAAACCCATGGTTGAACTGTCAAATTAGTACCAGACTCTGCTAGTATGCATCAGCCAGCAAAAGCCTTCTATCAAAGGCATCTTACCCTGCCAAGTCAGCCAGTGTATTTATTTATTTACTGTACTTATACCCTGCCCTTCTCACCAAAGGGGGACTCAAGGCAGCTGTATAAGACTGGCCAGTTAGATTATTAAAAAGGGAAGAAGTGTCATGAGATAAGTGGCTCTCAAACACAAAATGACTGCTGATATGGGAGACAATATTTTTTTAAATGGAAGCATAAGAAATTAAGAGGTAGGCCTGCCTCACTGACAAAATCAATGAGGAAGCATAATGATTTTACAGGCTAAAGATCAAAAGCTACTTTACAGAAGGATATTGACCCCGATGGCCACCTGTAACACTGGGATCTTTCCCAGTTTAATCATTTTGTTAAGACAGTGTTGATATGAGCCAGCAGGCAGAGTGATTTCCATGGACAAAACATTATTTAAATGAAAAACAGGAACAGCTGGGGCATAACAGAAAAAAACCAGAAAGATCATTAAAATATTGCTAATTTCTCTAGCATACAGCCTTTGTTGATAACTGATGTTTAAAAAGGGCCATGATGTAAACAGAGAGTGGTGGACCAGACTGTCTCCAAGGGTGGTGGGCCCCTCTTTGTTGGTGGTTTTTCTGGATGGCCAATGGCCAGTGGATTTCTTTCCTTGGTAGGAGATTGGATTACATGACCTTCAGGGTCATTTCCTTCCCTCTGATGGGTCAGCGACAATAATCCCTTCTATGGATTCATTCTTACGTTAGTTGAGACCCAAACAAAAGCCTCCTTAGCACATTGTTCCCTATCATGAATTATATCCAAAGCACTTGTAAGATAGATTAGCCGAAGTGTATTACTCCTTCAGAGTGTCAAAGGAAGGTTTTTTTCCTTTGTTCTTTTCATCTTCTTTGGACCTTGTTTGCCTAAAGTATTTAAGGAGTGAAATACTGGCAGTGTTTCTAAAGCTCTTTGCACTGTTTAGGATGGATCAAAAACCCCTTTGCCTGTGTCTCAGTGCAAAGTGGCTTACACAATTTATTCTCAGAAGCAAGAGATGAGCTAGGGCCAGATTGCAACTGCTAGAGGCGGTTCTGCACTGAATCTATGGGGCTCCAGCAGTTCATTACTGTGCTAAAGATAAAAGCAGGATATACACTAAAACATGTTATATTTTTAAAAAGAGGACTGGAAAACTGGAACCATATTAACATGGGAAACCAAACTCAACTCTGCACTGAAAATTCCTACCATCGCATTGGACTAGAAGGGCCCTATCTTTTGATACTGATGACTGAAAACAGATTATATCTAAATAGTGTCTTCTTTTCTGACTATAAGTAAGAATGTCCCACAGATCAGGTACAAAGTACATCCTAGTTGTCATGATACTCACCTCCATCATGTCCGCGTGCATGCGGACAAGTCTCTGCACCCGCAACCTTTTACCAGTCCTCGTGTTGTAGATATACTCTGATTTCTTCAACATCCCTTGATAAACACGAACATACGTGAGCTGCCCAAACCGTCCAGCCTGCAAGTAACATAATATGGGAATTTGTAAATCAAGAGACACAATGAGTTGGAAGAACTAGAGATTAAATTGAAAAATCAGTATAAAACATAACAAGTGATAAAAGATCACCACCAATAATCTTTTCCTGGATTTTAGTGACCCAATCAATGCCTCTTAGATAATTAGAAAATTCTGTGTACAGCAGATGCCCCAAGACCCCCAGATTAAACTTACCTCGAGTTTAAATGCCAGGCCCACAAAGGGCAGAGAACTGTCTCTCACAGAACCCAACAATATCTTGGATTTCTCCTGAGAATTCCTTGAAGAGAATTGAAATTTAGTTTAACATTGCTTATCCACCTGCATTTCTTGTCGAATTCTGTTATGTTTTAATCTATTTTCTCAACAAGAAATGTAGAATCCTCCGTCAGCCCCTTCCTTTTCCCCCTATGGTTTTGTCCCACCTTTCTCCCAAAACTTGGATTTGAAGTGGCTGAAATCATGCTGAATGCATATAATATGGCTAAAAATAATAAATGTTATAATGTTTTTAAAAGCACAACTACATTAAACGCAATTTTAACTATGAAAGTACAGTAGCCCTCCATTAAAAGCTCTTTCTTCAACAGTTTTGCCCTACCGTAGCCTGGACAGCAAGAACAGAGGACATGCAGTCCTCCAGCTGTTGGACTGTAACGCCAACAAAAATACCTTTCTGCTTTACAGCACAGACTACCGAATAAGCACAAAAACATCAAGCAAATCTATATGGTTCAGTTGCTCATGCCCTGGCGTGGAGGTTTCATGCCATTCTTCATTTTGGCCTTTCCTTTCACAAGAAAGATTACAACAGGGTGCAAAACATTTATCCTGGAGGGGGTGTCCTGCATAATCCAGGGCTGCTCTCCCCACTTTCATTATGCATACAGTACTCACTCTTGATTGTAAAGGGCATAGTTTTGCACTTCTGCGGGGTTTGGCAGGTATTCAAGGACAGCATCCAGCAGAGGTTGCACACCTTTGTTCTTCAAAGCACTTCCAACCAGCACAGGCGTGAAGGATTTACTAAGTGTTGTTCTTCTGACTGCAGACTAGGAGAAATGAAACACTCATGATTTGTGCCTAATGGTAAGTACAATGCATACACTCTGAAGAATAAGAAGTACTGTAAGAGTATTAGTGACAACAGAAGCAGAATGGTTGCTTATCTTTCCACTATGGTGGGAAAGGCTCCAATATCTTTCAAGCTGGAGCCATGCACAGCTTTTGATCTGAACAAGATAAAACATTTTCTTGTTTTGTTTTTTTTTTGCCACATCAGGAGCTAGCCAAAAGTCACTTAGAAAACAAATCTCATGGGAGTGCAAGTCAGAAACATGCTTCAAATCATGTTAAGATTATTTTTTGGTAACTAAGAAGGCAGCTTTCTCATGTATCAAGTGAGCTCCTATGTTTTGTCTGCATTTTGCAGCTGCAGAATTAGTTCAGTGACAAGATATCCTTTTCATACCTTCATAATGACTGGAAAAAAACCAGGAAAATGGAACCTGGATGGTTTGGAAACCCTTATTCCTGTATGCTTAGCTCAGATTACTATTTTTAATGTTTGTTGTCACCAGTACTTTACATGAAGATGTCTCTCCCTCCCCACAAAGTACAGGAAGCTCTGCTGGAGATATTGCAGAAAGTCATTCCTGGTGAAAATGAGAGACTACCTCCCTGTCCAAGCAGTAAGCACTTTCCTAAAACAATTGGTCTCCTGCAGTTTTAATGGGGCAGCAGCCAAAGTCTAATCTCTAGCCTCACATATTTCTATCAAGTAGGAGCTGTGCAGAAGGCATGTTTTCCAACACAGGCCCTTTGAAGTAGTGTCTTCAACAACAAAAAGAGGAAAACGAAGAAGACCAAGGTTCTCCTACTAATCCCAGGCTTCCCTTGTCCCATGACTTCATACTGCTTCATAAGTGTCAATGTTGTCTATTTTCTCTTCCAAGTTCAAATGTATTTATTCAACTTGGAAGGGAAAGTAGATGGACACCGAACCCCAGATTCTCCTACTTGTGTAACTACTGGCCATGATGGCTGAATACTCTGGAAGGTATTGTCCAACAAAGCTCTTTTTTGTAAGCTGAATCCTTTCACTTGTAAGGCCAAGTCTGTAAGGCTTCTGAACCTGAAGTTCCCAGTTAAGCCCTGAAATATTACATACTCCTTTTCCACTGCATGAAAGGGATCAGCATATCATAGTTGGGAGGGAAACACATTGCACAAGCTGGAAATGACTTCCTTCTTAAATTGCAACTTCAGTTCCCTTTTCAAGTATTTTTTGTTTCCTGACTTCTGTAGTCATGGTAGATCAATCATTTATCTTGACAATAACGTTTCGATACCAGCAAATGAGAAGGTTATTTCTGCACATCATGCTTAACGAGAACTGGCTGCTGAAACCATGACCTTCACAACAAATATTCAATGTGTTCGCCATGAACAAATATTTTAACCTAAAACTTGGCTGCTAGCCACAGCAGAAAGATCTATTCCTGGAGACAAATTGGCATGAACAAACCAGTCTTTTGGTCTTTCCACAGTTATTAAATAATTTGCAATTTATCTACTTTTGAACAGGGGGTTGCCAGAGACAATGATACCCTGAACCAGAAAATGTACTTTTTTGTGAATACTTACTCATTGGTTATATTTACCTGTAGACCAACTGACTGCTGATTTTGAGATAAATTTTTCATATAGACTGTTTACTTTGGGGGGGAGTCCTTCCAAAATCAGCAAAACATGATTATACATTATCCTGAACGTAGCCATTCATAGCTGCTAATCAGGCAATTCTGTGTCTGAATATAATTTTTCCAATTCACAAATATATGTACTTCTATGAACTGACCAAGAAATCCTCTTTGTTTACAGAAACGGCTAACTTATTTTTGGAAGGCCTCGCTTTGCTTCCAAACCACGGCACACGCAACTACCAGCACTTTTCATCAGAACAAATGAAGAACAGTATCTCCAGGATCCTGCAAGATCCTCAGATACCCAAATTAGCTATATGCCCCCTTGATAGTCAGGGTAATGGATAATATCAAGAGAATAGCTGGTGTGCTTTAACCCTTGGGAGCAACAGAGCACTCAACAGCACTTAAATGGGTCTGCTCCTCTCAACTGTTGTGTAAGGGATGGAAGAAAGCATGAAATGATTACATAACCCCTATGCAGCATTTCTCCAGACCACAAAGTCATCAAAGGCTAACGAGGGTAACAGGAGGTTTATTTCCAAATTCAAAGCTGCTATTTTCCTCAAGCCAACTTCAGGCCTTGTCTGATGGGTTCAGCTCCGGTGAAACAGTGTCTGCTTACACGAGCTGCCCCTGGATTTAGACATGAGGGGATGGCAGTGAGGGATATACAAATGTAGAATGGAAGTGCAAATCCCACATTTATACATCCAGGAAAAAAAAGATGAAGGACTTCCAAGATCTGTCAGAGTTCTGTCAATCACACTTAGCAGCTGCTATCCTTCAGATAGTGCTCATCCCCTACAATAATCTGTGGTTATTCATGTCTAGGAGTGAAAGGCTGCTGCTTCCTTGGATAGCACCAAAGTATCATGACAAAGATATTGCAGATGCTTGCAGAATAGCACATGCTGCAAACAAGTTCAGTTCCTAAAAGCAAGGAAATGTGATACCTCAAGACACAAAGCTATCTCTGCTTGAAAGCTAACCTACACCCACCATCAATCAAAATAAGCCTTCAATTTTTTTCCTGTCCATTCATTTTGGTTTGTGTACCTATTTACGATAATAATCCAATTGGATTTTAGTTATTTACTCATGTACAGTTATAATCCAACTGTGGTTTTTTTTGTTGTTTAATAGGCCAGTTTTTATTTTTACACCACCCTTTCAATTATCCTGGGTGAACCAACAGTCTTTTACCTTTAAATCTCATCTTGTTTGTATTTCCTCTTGTGATTGGTCCACTAATTGCACTTCATGGCAAGACCATTTCATATTTGAAGTCAATGATTTGTGCAATGTAGGAGCCCCCCGTGGTGCAATGGGTTAAACCCTTGTGCCAGTAGAACTGCGGGGACATGAGAGAAGCCTCTGACAGGATGCTAACACATCTGGGCGTCCCTTGTGCAGCATCTCTGCAGATGGCCAATTCTCTCACACCAGAAGCGACTTGCAGTTTCTCAAGTCGCCTCTGACACAGAAAAAAAATGTACAATCTGAGCAAACAAAATCATGGCTGAGCCGAGATTTGAGGGCAACATTTTCTGATTCAACACCTATCTATCTGCTGATTTCATTAAGAACTAGAACAGAAAATTGAGATTCCCATGAGGTAAATTAGAAACACATGACAGAGCAGAAGACAAGGCATGACTAACTAAGGGCATTTTGTCTAGTGGTAGTTTTCAATGTTTGTGCAATCACATATCTTAACTCAGAGAATTGCAAGGTTCCTTTTTTGGTTTCAAATTCCCAGAATTCTCCAGCTAACACAGCCAAGAAAATATTCTGGAAGTTAGTCCAAAACCGTGTGTGTGTGTGTGAGTCATCCTCCTGTCTCCTGGAGACTAGTGAGCTTCCCTAGCCTTCCACAGCTGCCTATCCCTGACTGAGTCTACCCCTCGCTCAAATCTTCCACAAAGATTAGATTAAGTCCTATGAGTGTCAAACCTTCTTAGCTTTGTACAGGTGGGCAAAACAGTACACAAAAAGTTGGATGGAACCCACACATTCCAGTACTGTGCATCAGATGTCTTGGGTAACTATTTGCAAAATGAAAAAGACCTTAAATTCTTTTCACCTTCAAGTCAGCTACCGTTGGGATCTTCTCTTCAAGGAAAAGTTCCCCAAGCTGTTCATCTATGTTTGCAACACATTCAATCAGTTCCTGGCGGCGATCCACTGACTCCGCTCTGAATTCAGAAGGAATTTCGTCATATTTAACAATCTGACTGCAGAAAAAGAGAAAACAAACAACCCATTAGTATTCACAACACAGACATATATTTAAGTCATGTAAGTATCTTCAATACAAACAATAGCAGGAAATTTAGATTGTTCTAATGATGTGTGTGTATACTAGCTGATTTTGCATCTGCAAATTAAACCAAGTAGCTAGGAGGACAAGAATATAGATAAGATTAAAAACTGTGCATAGAAGTTAGTAGTTAGGAGCTGGAGCTGCCTTGTTCAAAATTAATCAAAGTTAATATTCACCAGTTTGTTGGCACTGACAACATGACAAAAATTTCCATACCACTCCTCCTAACCATAAGAAGTAGGGCAAGAGGAAGAATATGATGTTGAGGTTTACTTTGATTTGTTCTTGATGATTCATGCCAAACTATGGGGGCCATTATACTGGACTCTGTGTTACTATGGTTAACAGGATTTACTGGCCTGCTTACATAAGCTAGATTTAGGTAGTGCCATAACCATCTGTGATAGTTGGGATCACCACAAAAATGTACAGAGAGAAGTATATGGTTAAGTGAAATAGAAAAAAGTGAACAAATAACACTTAATCTAGTCTCTCTAAATATCACTAGCAGAAAATCTGCCTGAAGAGCATTATTTATTTATTTATTTACAGTATTTATGTTCCACCCTTCTCAACCCGCAGGGGACTCAGGGCTGATCACAATGAACATATACATGGCAAATATTCAATGCCATAGGCATACAACATATATAGACAGAGACACAGAGGCTATTTAACTTCCAGCCTCATGACAGTATGCTTTTTGAATTCTGGCCACTGGGGGAGCTGTCGCTTCACCATCCACAGGGATAAAATCTCTTTATATTTAGAAAGTGTTGAGATCCCTTACCCAAAGTCACCATCAAAGTATATTGCTTTTTCTTCAACCAGATCAATGATTCCCCGGAAATCTCCCTCCAGGCCCATAGGAATCTGAATAAAAGCAGCATTGTGATTCAACTTGGATCTGTGAAAATAAAAATCACAGAATCATACTGTTGGAAGAGACCTCATGGGCCATCTAGTCCAACCCTCTGCCATACAGGAAAAATACAAAGCACCCCCCAACAGATGGCCATTCAGCCTCTGTTTAAAAGTCTTCAAGGAAGGAGCCTCCACCACACTCCGAGGAGTGAGGTCCACTGTTGACCAGCTCTTACAGTCGGAAAGTAGGAGCCCCCGGTGGTGCAGTGGGTTAAAGCACTGTGCCGGCAGGACTGAAGACCGACAGGTCGCAGGTTCGAATCCGGGGAGAGGCGGATGAGCTCCCTCTATTAGCTCAAGCTCCTCATACGGGGACATGAGAGAAGCCTCCCACAAGGATGATAAAACATCAAAAATCATCCAGGCGTTCCCTGGGCAACGTCCTTGCAGACGGCTAATTCTCTCACAACAGGAGCGGTTGCTCCTGACACGACAAAAAAAAAAAAAAAGTCGGAAAGTTTTGAGTCATTCCATGCCAAGTTGTCTAAAATGTTTAAAAGTTCGCACCATCATGTTCTCCAATTTTGTTCAAATTTTTCCTGTGACATCACCTGGTCAGCAATATAGTTTCCCTGAAATTATCCTCTACAATACCGGATGATGTCACTGATGGAGCTGGGATAACAGCAAAAGTTGTTCTGGAATCCAGCAAGTATTGTGTCTCAGCATCCTATCAAATGAACTAGCAGACCATGAGGATGCATAAATGCACACAATATAGCCTACTTTGACCTGAGTAAATTGATAATGAATGGTCCCATTGCAAAACAAAAACATATCAGTCTTGTAGAGCAAAATGTTCTTTCAGAGGATACTATTCACAAGCATATTCAGGTAGACTCTTTTTTAATAATCGGCTTTGAACTTTGGTGCTAACAACTTTGCCTGCAAAGTAGATTCTACGCAGTGGACAGTGTGTGTGTGTGTGTGTGTATGAATGACATGGCTCAAGCAGTACTATGGAATGAGAAAAAGTTTCATGTAGTGAGGTATAGTATCTTTCATGAAACACAACCACCATAAAAGTTTAAAAAGATTATTTTGGAGGGATTTTACAACCCATTTCACATGTCCTACTAAGAAACAAGACATCCAGAACATTCCACAAAAGATTATGTGTTTTGTCAGAGACTTTTAAAAATGTTTAGCCCAGCTTTCTCTCTGATTTTTGGCAGGGGGTGGAATTTTCAAGGTACAAAATTCATACCTGAGTTGTTGCAGAGCTCTGTTTGGACTTGAACCCATTCGGTCCAGTTTGTTGATGAAGGTCAAAAATGGGACATTATACCGCTTCATTTGCCTGTTCACTGTCATAGTTTGACACTGAACTCCTCCAACAGCACATAAAACCAGGATGGCACCATCAAGAACCCTCAATGCCCTCTCCACTTCTATAGTGAAATCAACATGCCCTGGAAGTGAAGGAAACATACATGATTATCTAAAAGCCTCTACTCCTGCTGGTATTGAATTTGACTTTCTTTCTGTTCTATATCAGAGCTTCTTAAAACTGTGTGTCCCAGTCCCAAATAGGGTCCCAAACATTTGGCACCAGTAAAGGTTCCTGCAAATTACCTAGTGTCTGTTTTAGACATTTACGCAAATCTGTTGTGCACTGTGCAGTGTTTACAGTAGATTCTGCAGAAGATGATTCATAAAAAGGAAAATCAGCTTGTTTAGCAAGCTTGCAAATAGTGATTTGTTATTACTAAATGTTGATTTTATACATGTTTTATATAGCCGTATACCTGAGATTAAACATTTCTCAGGCCAAAAGGGGTCATGAGAGGAAAGGTTTAAGAAGCCCTATTCTATATGACCCTCAGAAGGCGCAAATTGGCATCTTGTGATACTTAAGGTCATTCAGTATTTTTATAATAAACTTTATTTGAAAGACACTCTGTATTACAAACTTCTTAATTTTGAGACAATTTGTACTTCCTAAATAAAAAAATATTCTAGCGTTGCCTCAAAGAAAGACAGTAGAAAATGGGAGTTGATTTTTTTTGCAAATAGATACAGCAATAAAAATAAAATAACCAGTTTAATTTGAAAGCTGAGGAAAGTACATTATTTTTAAAAGTGTACATCAATAATAAACTGCTTTTTTTCATTGAGTTCAAATTTGCACACATTTATTTATTTATTGTACTTATGTCCTGCCCTTGTCACCCCCTTGTCAATGCCAGATTCAGACAATAACAATAACAGTAACAATTATAGAAATGTAAAAACTTATAAATATCAATTATAAATAATCTTCCAGGTGATTAAAACATATCAAAGGTCTAGCACCAACTTCACTTCATAAACATTACACCAATTGCTTCCATCGTTCTTATATTCATGGGTCATATTAATCCCCAAAGGTTTGCTTCAATAGCCAGGTTTTAAGATTTTTCTTGAATCTTAAGAGTGGTGGAGCTTTTATGATATCACTGGGGAGCAAGTTCCACAGCTGTAGAGCACCACCGAGAAGACCTTGTCTCTCGTCCCACCAACCCCGCCTGCAATGGGGGCAGGAGCGAGAGCAGCCCCACCCCCACCCCCCAGAAGCACTTAACTATCGTACATGGTTCTCTCACAGACCCTTCATTTCATAACAACTCTGTGAGGTTGGTTAGGCTGAGAGAATGAGTAACTGGCACAAGTTCATCTAAAATCTTTTTATTCAGACAGGCTTTTAAAGAAGAAGATTTTAAAGATTATATAAGGTGCTAATGTGGTTTTATGTTTTGATGAATTTGATCTGAATTGTTTTAATACTAATGACATTGAATACCGTTTTATTATTTGTATATTTTAAGTTGTATTGTAATGCTTTTAATATTAGCTGCTGCTTTTAATTTTAGCTGTTTGAGTCTCTTTATTGAGAGAAAAAGTGGGATACAAATAAACATAAAAATAATAATCAACTTTACACAAACTGTGAGCTTACCCTCACCTGCAAATTGTAACCATAACACCACTTTTGTGTAATAAAAAGCACACATCAAATGATTTAAATTAAACAAAAATCAGATAAATCCAAAACCCAAGTCCTCACTCAACATTAAATTCACCAATTAAACACTAAGGAACCCATTCCTCTCAAACTAACATGATTCAATTCATTGCTAGTTGGGTAAAATCATTTAATGTATGCCCTTCTGGCCTCTTTGGAGGAAGAGCATGTCATAAGTACATAGTTATTATTGCTTACAAAAAGGTATAAATGAGTATTGTTGTGGGGATCTTGAACAAACAAGAATTAGATAACTAATTTTCAGTTTAATAAGGATTATGAACACCAATCGCACTGCTGGGAAAGGACACTATTGACAGTCCTTCTGAACCTTCAAAGAGATCTAAATCTAAATGCATAGACACATATAAACTTTTGCAAACAATCCTACTGCCAGAGAATGTAATGCTTGGGAGTGTACAGAGAAATGTGAGAGGCTAAGAAAGACCTGGTGGACAATAAGGTCAATTGAACCTTCATCCCTCACTACAGGTCATGTTGGATAGAGAATTCCTGCCCAGTATCTGGAGGGTCCCATGTTCTCCATCCCTCCCATTAAACATTCTCTCGCTCTGCTCCATTTCTGGACTATTCAGTAAGAGACTTGTGATCTTAGGCACAAAGATTCCAAGTCTAATCCAGGATTCAGTTGAGACATTTACTTTGACGAACTTTACATAACACTGGGGTTACAGAGTCACACCCTTAGTACCATCTGCAATACAAACCAAGAGTCAGCTAAGAAATAGATTTATCAAACAGATGTGATTTTGGCTGGGGGTAAAATTCATGCTCTCTGAACTTCAGATATATTTCACATGCCAAATACAAACAAGCTTAGGAATCCACATACCAGGGGTGTCAATTATGTTGATGTTCGTATCTTTCCACATAGTGTAAGTTGCTGCAGACTGAATAGTGATCCCTCGTTGTCGTTCCAACTCCATCGAATCCATGACAGCACCAACACCATCTTTACCTTTAACCTAATATGAAAAAATACATATTCATAACAGCAAGTCCATGTGTTTCGGCATGCAAACCTATGCCTCTCTGCACAAAGCAAAGATCTTCCCCAAGATGCCTTACTTTGTTTCTTTCAGAATTCTAACTGCAGATAAAGTCTGCTAGGATTCACTATCAGGAGGGAATGAAAGAGGAAACACACAGGATTGACCATCACTACGTGTTTATCTCATTAGGATGGAACATATTTTGAAACTATTTTGCACACCCAAAAACTAACCAAGCTAAGGTTGGAATTCTACACATACTTATCTTTAAATAAGTCCCCCTAAATGCAATGAAACTTGTATCTCAACAGATATGTATTAGAACAGCAACATACACCTGCTACACGTTTACTGTATTCAATTTGTGCAGTAAGGCATTTAGGTTCCATTAGTCTTTTCTCTTTTTTGCTACCTTCCATATGGCTTAACATTCTGGTTGAAAAAAACTTCTGAGACTCTGAAAGTTAGTTCTCTGTTCAGTGACATTTTGGTTAGTCACAAAATTATACTCTACTAAAGGTAAAGAATGATGATTTCTAGATATCCAGCAAATGTGTCTGGAAGATATTCCATTAAAGCTTTTAAGGAACTGTGAACTAAAGGCATGCTTCCTATGTATGTTAATGGCAGTTGATAATGTCTTTTAGAATAGCTAATTTCACAAAACTGGAAACATTCTTGAGAGGAGGCTCTGCTCCCTAGCCTCACCCTATTTGATAAGTTACTGAGCAAGTCCCTCCGCAGCAGATCATAAGGGATGGGTGTTCACAGATGGCTACACGGGCAAGAAAAAAACTACTTTAGAAGTAAGCAGGGCCAGATCATCTAAAACTTTACAAGCAACGGCCACTACAGAGAATTCGCTTTCCAGGTTTCTCAGACCCCTTCCACACAGCTAAATAAGATCTGACATTAACTTCTTTGAACTGAAATATATGGCAGTGTGAACTCAGATAATCCAATTCAAAGCAGATATTGTGGGATTTTCTGCCTTGATATTCTGAAATATAGAGCTGCGTGGGCCCCCAGAAAACCATCACAGGAACTATGTCCGTTACAATGGGCCTGCCATATCTGCAGGTGTTCTGTCCCAAAACCAGCCATTGATAGAAAAAAAAATGGATGATCATGCCCTATATTATTAAATAAGACCAGCATAAAATACACATTGTCACTATTTACACATACAAGGCACATCAGCCTGAAATCACTGGAAGTTGTGGATCAGAATGTTAGGGAATCAATGACCCACTCTACAAAGAAGAAAAGGAAAATATAACGCAGTTTATATCCTTTACTGCATTGTAAAGCCAACTGGGGAGTCAAAGAAAGCACCTGTATCAGCCCTGTATGTACCAGCAATCTGTAGGCCTCTGGGTACGTTGTATGTATGTTGTACTTAAAATTCTACAATGGATAGTCAGAAAGAGAAAAAAAATTACATCGGAGATCATAACTATTTTGGTTTATTTATTTATTGTGTCAGGCAACCGAACAGTTGTATTATATTTCTGACAGAACAAACAAACAAACATACAAAAGACACAGAGTCTGCAAGCTTGGCAGTTGATTAAATGTCCTTTGACCAGTATCTGGCCACTTGGAGTGCTTCTGGTGTTGCCGCAAGAAGGTCCTCCATTGTGCATGTAGCAGGGCTCAGGTTGCATTGCAGCAGGAGGTCAGTGGTTTGCTCCTCTCCACACTCGCATGTCGAGGATTCCACTTTGTAGCCCCATTTCTGAAGGTTGGCTCTGCATCTCGTGGTGCCAGAGCACAGTCTGTTCAGCACATTCCAAGTTGCCCAGTCTTCTGTGTGCCCAGGGGGGAGTCTCTCATTGGGTATCAGCCATTGGTTGAGGTTCTGGGTTTGAGCCTGCCACTTTTGGACTCTCGCTTGCTGAGGTGTTCCAGCGAGTGTCTCTGTAGATCTAAGAAAACTATTTCTAGATTTAAGTCTTTGACGTGCTGGCTGATACCCAAACAGGGGATGAGCTGGGGATGTCTCTGCCTTGGTCCTTTCACTATTGGCTGCTACTTCCTGGCGGATGTCAGGTGCTGCAAAAAAGTGTAATTTCTCCAGTGGTGTAGGGCGCAGACAACCCGTGATAATGCGGCATGTCTCATTAAGAGCCACATCCACTGTTTTAGTGTGGTGAGATGTGTTCCACACTGGGCATGCATACTCAGCAGCAGAGTAGCATAGCACAAGAGCGGATGTCTTCACTGTGTCTGCTTGTGATTCCCAGGTTGTGCCAGTAAGCTTTCGTATGATATTGTTTCTAGCACCCACTTTTTGCTTGATATTCAGGCAGTGCTTCTTGTAGGTCAGGGCACAGTCCAGAGTGACTCCCAGGTATTTGGGTGCGCTGCAATGCTCCAGTGGGATTCCTTCCCAGGTAATCCTCAGAGCTCGGGATGCTTGTCTGTTCTTGAGATGAAAAGCACATGTCTGTGTTTTAGATGGATTAGGGATCAGCTGGTTTTCCCTGTAGTAGGCAGTAAGAGCACCTAGAGCTTCGGAGAGCTTCTGTTCAACTATCTCAAAGCTCCCTGCTTGAGCAGTAATGGCATGATCATCAGCATAGATGAAGCTCTCTGTCCCTTCTGACAATGGCTGGTCATTTGTGTAGATGTTGAACATGGATGGGGCAAGCACACTTCCCTGAGGCAGGCTGTTCTTCTGTTTCTATTTTGGTGTATGTGGTGTGTACGAGTGTAAAGATGGAGAAAGCAGAATAACTCACCTCCATCACTGCCTGGAAAGAAAGACGTTGAATCCCAAACAACATGATACAGTGACTGGTTTCTAAGTAGATCTTTGCTGCCTATGGAAAGCTTGTGATCCACCACATTGTACAACACTGAATGAGCACTATATAAATGTCATGCTAGCATAGCACACCAACAAGATTCTAGCCACTGAGATCAAATAGCACTCATACACTGTCTTTGAAAGCACCATCATGTGTAGAAGTACCTCGTGCATTTGAGCTATCCTTCCTGTGTAAAAAAGTATGCGCTCAGTTAATGTTGTCTTTCCAGAGTCAATGTGTGCAGAAATCCCTATATTCCGGATCTTTTCATTGGGAATAATTCCTGACGAGCACCATCTGCAGCTGTTCAAGTATAGCTGAAACACAAAGGAGAAAGAGAGTATAACAATATTGCAACACATGATAATGTTTAGCATTAAAAATACATACAATCAAGTGTTAGTAGTGTAGTATTTTTAGTCTAAAGAAAATGTTGCTTAAAAAAGCTCTGCAGTTCTCTCTCTCTCTCTTACAGTGAGATTTGGGGGAGGATGGACAACAGACGATGGAATTCGCTTCCACAGACCACTGTAACCCCCATGAATGACAGACCTGGACCAGATTTGGGACACAGAGCCTCCATGACCCACTTTACATCCTGGAGAGGTTTGGGGAGAATAGACCATGGGTGATAGGATTTACAGTACCTTCACCCATATCCAGAGAGTACTGCAAGCCCCATGGACCATGGATATGGACCAAACTTGAGACACAGACCCCCACTCCCACCCCCAATGACTCACGCTATATCCTGGTGAAGCTTGTGTGAGAATGAATCATGGATAATGTGATTTGCAGTACCTGCATTCACATCCAAAGATTACTGCTAACCCCATCAGCCATGGATCTGCACCAGTTTTTAATGGGCCCATTCATAACATCCAAAACCAAACAATGCCTTTTTTCAAATAACCCGGGCATTGCAGGGTAACCAAACTGTATATCTGATATGCCTAAGTTTGAATACTGGTGGGGTTTGGGGGTAATTTATTGTGGCATTTGGGACTTGTAGGTAGTGGGATTTATAGTTTGACTACAATCAAAGAGAAGTCTATGAGTTAAGACTGGCATGGGCAAAGTTGGGCCTTCCCTCCAAGTGTTTTGGACTTCAACTCCCACAATTCCTAACAGCCTACCGGTTGGAGGGAAAACCCAACTTTGCCCCTGCCTGTTCTACAGTGAACCACCACAAGCCCACAGAACTAAGCTCTGAGTTAGAGGCCTCTCCTCGTTCTCCACGCCAACACAAGACTTCGCTCCACCCACATAGAAACAACGCCCACCCTTCAAAACAAGGCCTCCCGCCGTCTCAAAAATACCTGTTGCCCGGGCAGCACGGAGCCCCACAGCCGCCTCCACCTCAACATGATGCTCCCGTCAAAGTCACGCCGTCCAGATCTGTAGGGGCTCCACTTCCGGCTCGAGCCGGCAAGAACTTCCCGTGACGTCGCTGGAGCATAGGAAGGCTGGGCTCGGCATTGGCAACCTTGCCTCCTCCTGGGAGACCAAAGTTACAGCGCCACCTTTCGCCAGGTGGGAGGAACTGCTCTGAAAAAATGTTAGGAGGAGGAAAGGGAAGGAAGGAAGCCTAGCTGATTTCACAGCCCTGTTTTAAGGAAATCTTCTGTAACTGCCATGGCAGGAAACAGGCCTCAAGGTTAATTCTTAGCTATAGTTTTAGCCAAGAAGAGATATTCTTTTCTGGACATTTTTAAGCATAAGGTTGGATGGCCATCTGTTGAGAATGCTTTGATTGTGTCCCTGCATGGAAGAATGAAGTTGGTCTGGATGCCCCTTGGCATATCTTCCTATTTTGTTTCCATGATTCTATACCAGGCATTAACATTAACAACCTCAGATATGCAGATGACACCACTCCGATGGCTGAAAGCGAGGAGGAGCTGAGGAGCTTTCTAATCAAGGTGAAAGAAGAAAGCGCAAAAGCCGGGTTGCAGCTAAACGTCAAAAAAACCAAGATTATGGCAACAAGAATGATTGACAACTGGAAAATAGAGGGAGAAAATGGGAGGCCGTGACAGACTTTGTATTTCTAGGTGCAAAGATTACTGCAGATGCAGACTGTGGCCAGGAAATCAGAAGACGCTTACTTCTTGGGAGGAGAGCAATGTCCAGTCTCGATAAAATGGTAAAGAGTAGAGACATCAGACTGGCAACAAAGATCCGCCTAGTCAAAGCCATGGTATTCCCTGTAGTAACCTACGGATGTGAGAGCTGGACCTTAGGGAAGGCTGAGCGAAGGAAGATCGATGCTTTTGAGCTGTGGTGTTGGAGGAAAGTTCTGAGAGTGCCTTGGACTGCGAGAAGAGCCAACCAGTCCATCCTCCAGGAAATAAAGCCCGACTGCTCATTGGAGGGAAGGAGACTAGAGACAAAGTTGAAGTACTTTGGCCACATCATGAGGAGACAGCAAAGCCTAGAGAAGACAATTATGCTGGGGAAAGTAGAAGGCAAAAGGAAGAGGGGCCGACCAAGGGCAAGATGGATGGATGGCATCCTTGAAGTGACTGGACTGACCTTGAAGGAGCTGGGGGTGGTGACGGCCGACAGGGAGCTCTGGCGTGGGCTGGTCCATGAGGTCACGAAGAGTCGGAGACGACTGAACGAATGAACAACAAATATCAGGCATAGGCAAACTTTGGCCTTCCAGGTGTTTTGGACTTCAACTCCCACAATTCCTAACAGCCGGTAGGCTGTTAGGAATTGTGGGAGTTGAAGTCCAAAACACCTGGAAGGCCAAAGTTTGCCCATGCCTGCTCTATAAGCAGAGGAAAGACACATATAGTATTTCCTTGATTTTAAGATGCTCTTTACCACACAAAACCATGTCTTGGAGCCCTTCCACACAGCCCTATATCCCAGAATATCAAGGCAGAAAATCCCACATTATCTGAGCATGGACTCAGATAACCCAGTTCAAAGCAGATATTGTGGGATTTTTCTGCCTTGATATTCTGGGATATAGGGCTGTGTGGAAGGGCCCAAAGAAATGGGTGCATCTTAGGGCCCTTCCACACATAAAACCCAGAATATTAAGGCAGAAAATCCCACAATATCTTCTTTGAACCGGGTTATCTGAGTCCACACTGCCATATATTCCAGTTCAAAGCAGATAATGTGGGATTTTATTCAGTTGCGTGGAAGGGGCCTTAGTATCACAAATGCATTTTTATACATCTACAGCTTATTTTTTCTGTTGGTGGTACTGAAATTAGCACGTGTTTTACAATCAATGGCATTTCAGAATTGAAAACATGCTTTTAGGGGACCGTTTTGTTGATCAGCAGAAGAAAAGGAGGACAAGAATGGACAAGTGCTGGGCTCTTGAGAAAGTCTTTTATTCATATTTCTTATTGTGTGTTTACTTCCTTTACTTCCCGAGGATAATGGGCCTCCAAGTGTAATGTCTCGGCAGTGGGTCTGGAAGTGGTTGTGGAGCCCTATTTTTGAACTTCATGTTCTCTAGCAGTGAGGGCATCAGTTTTCAGGTGGAAGGCAGTCTCAGTCAGGGTTGGCTTGACACACTTTCCTCTTGGCACATTTCTCCCTTTTGCCCTCCATTCAGTCAGCAAGTTCAGCAGCTCAGCGGTTTAACCCGATATGCCACCAGGGACCCGTTATATAGTTATATAAAATAGGTATAAAAACAAACATTTACTGATATTAAATCTGCAAGGGTTGCGAAACAGGCTGATTTTCCTTTTTGTGGAGTACAGCTGAAGCATTTTCTGCAGAATCTACTGTAAACCTTGCATGTTGTTGCCAATATATTTCTGTAAATGGGTGGCGTTCCGAAACCTTTTACTGTTGCCAAAATTTTTCGTGACCCTATCATTGAACTTATAGGATCACATTTGGGGGCAGGAAGCAGTGAGTTATAGTATTTTAAGATGACCCAAGCAAAAATTTGAATAAGAGAAGTTTGTAACATCCTCAGCTAGATACATAATCCTAAACTTACACAGTTCTTAAATTGGTTTCAAGAGACTGAATAAATATCCTAAGAACCCGTCTGTCTTGTGGCCCAAAGATCTTGATGAATGTCATGCAACTATTTCATAGCAACAGCAACTGAAAAATAGGATTTTGTTCATATACAGTTAGCCAAGACAAAATCAGAGTAGCAGTGATATATGCAAAACACCTGCTGCCCTACAAACGTGCTTAAAACACGGTTGGAGTTCCCTGCATAAGAACAGGGAAGTGCACTGAACAGGTGGTGATTTCAAACACTGTGTCTATTTGGCTTGACTACATGGCAGCTGTAATCTTAGTGGCAGTAGTGAATAAATCATTGGATTTGTGGACCAACACTGAGCTTTCCACATCTAGAGTCATGTTTCTTGGCAACAGTTATTAGAATATGTGAACATTAGGGTCTTCACCGGTTCAGATTAGCAAGGCTCTTATTTTAGGGAGATGATAGGTTGCAAACTACTCAGCTGGCATATACATTGCCTCCTACCTCAAAACACCATGAACTTGTCTGAACACATATGCATACATGTGCATGGTCTTTTGCATGGAGTGAGCATGTGTGCATGGAAAAACACTAGATTCACTGCTATTTAAAGGAAATGTTAGGTTCAGAAAACCAAGACTCCTATTGCTGAAATATAGTCAGGCTGCTTACCAAAATGTAAGCAGCTGAATCAAATGTCTGTTTCTTGAAAACTTAATGAAAAACAATGGAAAGCACGATAGCAACTGATACAGTATTCTGTTGAACAGTTCTTTATTAACAAAAAGTGGCAAGTGAACTTTTCATTTGATGAGAATTGATGTATTAACATTGTCATACAGTATTTATAATTATGCAGCTGCAAGAAAAATATGCAAAGATATACATTTCTGCCCTGTGTGGCTTTAAAAAGCATAGAAACTATTACTTTATTCTATTGGAAGGATTTAACTGTACAGATCCTTAACTTTTTACATACCAGATATTTTGTTAGCTATCCTAATATAAAGAAATTGAAGCGCCAAATGTTCAAACTTCTTCAATATTGTTTCTATAGAAAGATGAGGTTTGAACTGAGAAGCCTTGAGCTAACTTGCAGAGCCAACTAATTTGCTTAATCTGGTGCATTTATAGGTAACACAAATACAGGTTGCATATGATTGCGCATTAAAAATACTTTCAAATTGTCATCTCTTACAAATGAGTGCACCACGAAGACTTTACAGTGAAGACAACATCCAGCAAATGTGCATTTTAACTACGAAAGCATAAATTCAATCTCTCCTAAATTCACTTTTATTGCAAGCATTTTGGGGATTTGCAAAACAAAATGCCTCCCAGATCATAACAGACCCTATATTTCTAACTCACAACCAGCCCTTATGGGGACAAAATAATAAATCGTAAAGAAACAGAAATCCTGAAGACAGAGAGAAAAAGTAACAACGAGGAGCACTAAAATAATGTGTGTGCTGTCAAATAACACTCAAAATGTGTTTTGTGCACTTCTACTCCAATCTAGAGTTCTGAAAATGAAATTGCCTTCCCTCAGTGTCAATATTATTTCCAATTAAAGTGATTAAGTGTATTCATTGGAAGTATGACTTCTTATACATTAAAATAGCTTATTAACATTAAGCATATTGAATTACAATCATTTGAAGGGAGACATGTTTACTAAAAATATCTCTAAGTGGAGCATGCTAAAAATAAGTACTATAATAAACCATGCTTTGGAAAACATATATAGAGATCAGAATTATAGGCCTTTTATGGGAATTCCCAATTAGTTTAGCAGTGCATTCAGATATTGGGTAGTTTTTGCTCAGTAGAAAACATTCTTAGGTTTTTAGTTATGTTGATGCTATGTGTATTGGAAATCTATTCAGAAAAACTATCAGATGTTTTCTGGAAATTGAGTGAGCTACTAGCATATTATTTAATAATGTTTCATCTTAAAATCTGATTACACCTAATCCTTTATACAGAATACTGAAAAAAGCTTTTGCTTCACTAGGATGTCTATTAATTATATCTCTAATAAGACTCTTGATGCCCACCTTCCAAAACAAGTCACAGCTTGTTCAAGGGTAGGACAATGGTTTATTGTTATAGGAAATGCTACTTACACTCAGCAAGGAGAACAGCAGCACTGAATTATAGTAACAGAATAATCAACAACCTAAGAGGGTGGCTATATTGAGAAATACACAAAACTAAGAGACTACCAAAAAAATTCTAAACTATGCAAATCATATGACTTTTTTGCACATCTCTATGTCTGTAGTTTAACAGCAGTACATTCAGTAAATTATTGTTTCCAAGTGATTTTCTTCATTGTCATGTTTTAGATCTTGACTAACTCTTCAACCAAACAAGACCTGCATTGCTTCCATTACAAACAGCAGTTTACTACCTTGTGCTCCTTTGAAACTCTGCATATATAGTTGCAAGTATCACTCTGTCTTCAAACATAATAGAGCCGCTGTTGTCAGTAAAGACCATATGTTTTAACAATCTACCTCATAACAGAGAGAGAACTCCATAAAGTGCTTTTTAGTATCAAGTGTTTTTCCTTTACTGGTCAAAAGCAAGTGTTATCAAAGAGCTGAGAGCTGTTATGAACATCTGGGAGTCAAAGAGCAAAATCACTACTGCTAAGAAGAGTAAGCTTGGTCTTATTCATTGATCCAGAATGATTGTATCCTCCCAAAACAAACAGCCAGAGTAATAACACAAAAACAACACAGCCATTTATTTTTTGCTGGCTTTGAGGGGAACGTGTGATCCCTTGACACTGAGCTTCTCCACAGAAGATTGTGGCCTCCTCGGTCCCTCTATGGCTGTTCTTGGGTGAGTCTTCTCCCTGAAATGACATTTAGATCAAGGGAATACTTGATGTTTATGATTTTATAAAAATGGTTGGTGCTCTATTAGTTAGGTAAACAGTTTACTAACAAACAAACAAGAGTGTTAGCCAGACAGACACGTGGAACTGTCTTATTCTGGATTAGATGATCGGCCCTAGGACTGTGAATCTGACCAGCTGTAACATTCCCGAGTTTCAAGAAGAAGCATTCTTTCTAAGTTCCATTACATGTTGTCTGGTCCTCTCCCACCCTTGTACTGCACAGCCTTCACTGAACTTAGGTTTTTGGCTTTAGGATGAGATTTGGTGTTTAGGAAGGTATTTTCCTAAAGCAGCCACAATTCAAGCCTGCAGTGTTTCCCATAAAAACCAACAGAGATCCTTACCACATTTATTTTACAAAACTGCTGAAACAGTTCTACATCCAAGAATTAACGTAAGAGTTTCTTTTAGAAGGCTGGAAGAAATGGACAAATGTGGCATTCTCTTCTCTTCTCCAGGAGACAAACACAATTATCTATTGACTGAAGGTGCTGGTGCCATTACAGTATATCTGCTTCTTCCCAAACCGCCACATCACCAAAAGCCCTTCTCCAATGGACAGAAACATGCATTAAACACAAATTTACAACAACATCAGTTGCACTCAAGGTGTGGTCTCACCCTGAACCAACAGTTTTCTTGGGGGAAAAAATAATCTGATTGCAAACCAGTGTCTTAACAAATGCTGTGCATATTTAGGAATGCTCACAATCTTTTGCAGTAGCATAACAATTATTTATACCTTCTTACTGCATCTTCCTTGCCTAAATGCTGAATACCTCGGTGTTTTGACACATTTCTGTTGTTTCTTCCTACAGAGGGCTTGAACTTCCCAATTTCCTTTTGCCATTGATCATCAAATGCTTGAGCTTCAGCTGTTCAAAAAAATGAAAGATACCATGTCTTTAACTTGAACCATTTCATATAGAACAGTAGTTCTCAACCTGTGAGTCCCCAGGTGTTTTGGCCGACAACTTCCAGAAATCCCAGCCAGTTTAGCAGCTGTTAGGATTCCTGGGAGTTGAAGACCACTGATATAAAACATGTTAAAACATCACCTAGACAAACAGTATATTTTAGTTCCCCAGAGTCACATTTTCTTGCAGAATTCACTTAGAGCTACAGCAACAAAGTAGGTATTTTTCAACATGAAGTCATCTGAAGATTCATCTGTTGAATGCAGGTTTAAAAAAAGGCAAACCACACGGTATTTTAAGACATCACAACTGTGTTGGCTGTGTATTCTGCTAAACAAAGAGCAAAAAAAACACCTACTCAAAATAAATATCCTGGCCTTCAATCTGAACCCACAAACACTCCTATAGGAGTAAAGTATTTTTACATCAAATAATACATTGGAATTATCACTGGGGAAGAGACAACAACCATGATTATGTAACTCAATGTGGGTTAAAGCTATTATAGTCTGATAAAAAAATCAAATTTGAAGTAAAAATGAAATAACCTAAAAGGCAAAGGTTTCCCCTTGACATTAAGTCTAGTCGTGTCTGACTCTAGAGGTGGTGCTAATCTTCATTTATAATCCAAAGAGCCGGCATAGACACCTCCAAGGTCATGTGGCCTGCATGACTGCATGGAGGGCCGTTACCTTCCCTCAGAAGCAATACCTATTGATCTACTCACATCTGCCTGTTTTCAAACTGCTAGGTTGGCAGAAGCTGAGGCCAACAGCAGGAGCTCACCCCGCTCCCTGGATTCCAATCACTGCCCTTTCGATCAGCAAGTTCAGCACCACGAGGGATCCTAAAATATGCATATCTTTCTGTGCATGCATTTGCACAGACATAATCCCTTGTAAAATGTTGACAATTCGTATTACAGAACAAAAACCAAAAACCTGGATGCCAGCACAAAGTTTCTTACTTTCATCTAAATTGATAAATTCTTGATTCAATTCTTCGTTGCCAGTTTTGTTGTTCTTTTCCTTTTGAATTACATGACCTCGATCCTGAATGTGATGACCAATAGCCATTTTTTCAAGCCCACTTTCAGAATCTTTAAGTGCCTTTCTGGTTTCTTTAATCTGTATGTGTACAGAAAAAAAAGTTATTCATATGAATGAATGTTCTTGGTTCTACATTTCAACAGAGTTGAAATCAAGATGACAGAAATAGCATATACACTCCAATAAATCACCTAAACTGGAAATTGTATGCATGGAAGGAAAAGAATATACCAAAACAAAGAAAGATCTAAATGCTGAGCATAAATGAGAACACCTGGAACGATACCTATAATTTATACTGCAGCATTTCCCACGTTTGAAGAGATAAGCCTCATTTAGAGGGTTGTTAGTCTCCTCATGAGCAAAAACTACTAATAGAAAACCAGCAAGTGACAGCTATTTGTCTAATTGTCCCCTTTGTATGATTCATCACTTCACAGAACTGAGGCCATAACATGAACGTCTATGATTCACACATAGAATGAATGTCTACCAGTTAATGATCGCATATTATTCTACCAGAACCGTTTCAAAAACTGCCTAAGCCTAGTCTAAATATAGGCTGTGAATGGGCCTTTAGAGATAAGTATGTGCTGGTATGTGCTACATGAAAGGGACACTAACTGTTAGTATGACAGGCTAACCTTCTTGAAAACCTTGGCTACTGCTTATCACTATCCTCACAGTTATATTATTAGAAGCTTTCTGATAACCAAGTACTGGCTATAGTTCAGAACTGTGGGTTATTTTCCACCACTTTTTCTTCTTATATATAAAATCTTTCATGAATTGTCATTGTTCAAATGCAAATTTCTTAGCAAAGTTAGATACAACTGTTATATGGAAGCTGCAAAATGAATATACATAATGTGTAAAAATGTAATGTCAATGTTTCTTTTCATTTAAATCTCATCAAGAAAGTGCATGAAGTGCATGGGGTCTGACAGCAGCCTGGAACTATAAGATGAGCCCTGTGTTTATTGTTCCCTTTGCAAACGTTAATTTGCAGCTTACTTCCTGCAATACAGCAAACCACATCACCCAAACTATTCTTATATACTGGGTCTAACTTACTCCTCCTGGAGCCATTCGAGTCTGAGCAGAAGCCTGGAAAATCTTTGGAGGTTCATCACCCTTTTTTGAATAGGTCATCACCGAAGAAGAACTGAAAGTGTGGGCGTTTGTATCAACTGCCATTTTATCCTGAAATTCAAGCACAACAAATTATTCAAAACAAAAGAAAACTAGGATAAGAATATATAACTAAAAGCAATATTCAATACTGTTTATGGTTCCATTGAACAATTAAAGATGAAAATGTTATAGGAACACAACTCTCAGTACATCATGGCAGTCTCAAGCACTACAGGTGCATCTACACAGTAAAATCAATCACTCTGACACCACTTTAACTGCCATGGCTCAATGCTATGGAATCACAGCATGTTGTAGTTGAGTCTCCTAGTAAGGATGATGGGGTAGTAGAGGAGGAAAGAGAGGTGCTCAGAGTTTGGATGAGGAGCAACAAAGAAAGAGAGTTAGGGAGATATTCATGTCTCCTACAGACAATGACTCATTTGAGGGTTTCTCGGAAAAATGGAGGAGGAAGGAGATGAAAGCGGGGTGTAAAATGGATTACTCGGGAGCAGGAGTCTGACGAAGAGCATCAGAGGAAACGGATCCGTGATATACTTACTGCTCCAACTGAATAAGATTTTATGGGCTTCACTGGAAGTGATGGGTCTGGGAGTAGTGACGAGGAGGATGGGTTGGATTGGACTCATGTGCAAGAAGTTAAAGATGTGTGTACACAACCTACGTCCAGCGATACTTTTGAAGGGTTTTCTGGGGGTTGGCAATCTGGTGATACATGGGGAGACCTAAGTCTTGATAAGAGATGGAAAAGCTGGCAAGATGGGCGTTGGCGATCAGCTGTGGAGACTAGAGCAGCTGATAGCTATGAGGAAAGGGTGGACAGCTCATCAACAGATAATGAGTTGTAAGATAAATGTAGGCACTGGAGTAATGGGACTTTGCAGGAGACCTGGGTCTTTGTCGCTGCCGTTTCTCTTGTTGGGTCCTCGAACTACAGGTTGCTGCTTTCTCCGTATATCGACTGGCTTTGGATTCCTGTAAGCGCTGACTTCCCCTCTTCTTGACTTTGGACTGCTTGGACAACGATGCTGTTTTTAGACTCTAATATCTTTGACTTTGGACTGTTTTTGGGCTATGGCTTTGTGTTCTTCCACCTTGTTTACTTGCAAACCTTGAACTCTGTGACTTTGGAGCGTTTTGCTCAATTTTTTGTTTATCCCAGATTATATGCCGGTTTAATCCGGATTGTTTGCCAAGTTAAGTTTTTGCCTTGCAAACTGCTTGAAATCTTTTGGTTTTGGCCAGGGACACTGAAGTAAGTGTTCCCGAGTCCTTTTTGTTGCCTTAATAAACTTTGTTTGAACCTTATCTCTGTGTCTGGCTCTTTAAAGGCGTCTGGATTCTGACACAGCACCAGTCTTTGATAGAGAAAGCTACAGATTTTATAAAACTACAACTCCCATGATTGCATAGTAATATGCCATAGCAGTTAAAGTGGTATCAAATTGCTTTAATTCTAGAGTGTAGATGCACCCTCAGTGTCCAAAGCATTTCAAAAGGACTATTGTAGTCACATAACTGAAGAACACAATTCAGGATGGAATGTATTGCATGCAATATGAGGTATGTAAACAGCCATTTACCTGTAACTGGCAGATAGTAAAAACAAACTCAAGACTATTGCAAAGGTAAATTGTATACAAAAGTAATTTTACCCCTGGCAACCCACAAGGCCAGGCATGTAAAGGCTAGCCAACATCATTTGTGGACTTATTTTCATGGATATGATGCCAAATTGTGTATATTGTTTCTACAGTGTTTAAAGAACATTCATAGGACCAGAAGTGGGGATAGGAAAATATTATATCGTTCACTTATGCAAACTATTTCAATACTCTTGGACTGCAGCTGTCATTATCTCAAGCCAGCATAGTCAATGGTGAAAGATGACAGCAGTTACAATCCAGCAATATCTGGGAGGCTACACTTTCCCCCTTCCCACAGTCCATTAACAGTATCCGTGAATAGTTACAAGAATAACCTTTTAACACACTTTTTTTCTAAATTCAAAGTACAAAAACACTGTGTCCATAACATGCTAACATTTTTCCACCCACCCTGGATCCCAGCATTTATCTTCTACTTCACATTTCATAGGGTATTTTTGCTACTCATATTATTTCCATTAAAAATACTGATGCACTTTTTCATTTGCATTTACAAAAATATGAACTTACAAAATTTCTTTGCAATTCCACCATGCTGTTTCTCATATTTGACATCATTCTATCCATCGCAGAGAAAGGATCCCTGAAATCCATGTTCTGTCAGAAGAGAGGATAGGAAAGGCTTAAGAGGGGGAAAACCACACAGTATTTACAGCTCAGGACTGTTTTGCAGTGAAGAACCAGAAGATTCAGAATTAAGCAGCTTTATTAATTCCCTTAACCACTGAAAGCAAACAAGAACACCAGGGTAAAAAAAACAGAGACCACAAGGTATAGCAACAGAAAAGTTCAAAGTGTGGATGGTGTGGGTTTATTTTTTAAAAAAACCCAAGAATGTTTGCTATTATTCTTTTAAGCTTTTGTTGTGCTTAGCTGAAATCTAAATTAGACATGATACATGAGATTTATGTCTGTCTTTTTTACACTGCAGAGCTAAAACGAGATGGGATGATATAAGTTTAGATTTCGGCAAAGGTTAAGATTAAGCAATGGTTAAGATACTCTATATCAAAGTTTAGGCAAAGGTTAAGATACTCTATTATCAAAGTGATACGTCCCAATTTTGATGACCCCTCCCCCCTTTACCCCTACCAATTAAAAGGAAAACTATGGGAGATTCTGGATCACATTCAGTTTGGTTACAAATCTGCTAGAAGGAAAATGGAATAGGCCACAGAAGTAAAGGGCTTTCAGAAAGGTTTTCTGCATTAACTTCAACTACTGAAAATATGGCCCACGTGTTCTGACGCGTGACTCATTTCATGTATGAATGTTTAGATAATTTCTTAAATGTTTTAAATACCACAGCATAATAGCAACTCTAGGTTACCACCAGAAATATAACACATTGAGACTGTGAAAAAAATCAGCTTCTTGAGAAGCTTTATGAGAGATTCAGCTTCATGACCGAAAACCCTCCCCAACTGAGACTTTTGCAAGAAATTGACATTTTTTTCTTCTACTCTATCAAGGTATTGAAGAGATACAAAAATAAGCCCTATCTTTTAGAACATGGGCCTAAGTTATTGACTAAACTGAGATCATCAATTTGTGAGTTGATGAAAGTATCCATAATTCAGATTCCCTTCTGTGATTTACGATTTGTAAGTCAGGTATAATTTTCACTTGCTGGAAAAGAAGACATGGTTTGATGAGACAGCACAAGAAACAGGCTTGTATGACACACTGTTGACTTGGCTCCAATGTCTATTATGACTCCTCAGTAACCAAGGCTTCCGTTGACATAGATACCATTTGTTTCAAGCATTCCAACTGATGGTTGACTATCACAAGGAACACTAGGAACATTAACAGAAGCATACTAAAGCCTTTATAGGAAACTCAACAGAGACTTGCTCATGGGATTAGCACTAGCTATAACTGTGACTATATGTACTATGTGCCAAAAAGACCAATCAATCAAACCATAGCAGGATATAATAAATTGTGCAGTTATTTTCTTCACATACATTTGTGTGCTAGATTGCAAATTAGAATTTCTATAGGAATAGTGGCAGCAGGAAGAAAAGAAACATAAGAAAGGATAGCCCAAAAGACTTGACTTCAGAAACAGGACTGGGTCAAGACATTTTGTTGTCTGAGGCAGAAAAAAACAACTGGTTGAAGCCAGCTCTGTGTAATAGAAGGTTCCAAATAGAGGGTACAGGACTGAAAGACCTAACCAACAACCCATCATTTCTCTGATTTTACCAGAAAGTTATTAGGTCATGTCTTAAATTGTCCCCTGCAACTATGAATGTTAGGCAAAGAAAGCATGAATCAAGATTTTCACAATCCTACATTTCAGTCATGTTCCTTCCATTTGGTAATGATGGACTTAAGCCAATATTCACTGTTGGCTTTTTAAAAATATTCCAAATCTGATTGTTCTGCAAAACTTTATCCTGGACTTGTTTTGATAGCTCCTTGGTGTTCATGGTGCTGCTTGTTTAGATATTGTCCACCAAGCTAGAGCCTTCCAGCAATGTATTTAATGTGACACCATGTGATACTGGAACTGCACACAGGTAGAATCCATTCAACTACTCATGTGATTTCTGGAAGCAACAGGTTGAACTAGAGCTTAATGCATTTCACTGCAAAACAGGGAAAATGACTTTCTTTTTAACTGGTTTTTCTGCCATGGTAAAAATATCTTGCACATTCACAGTATTGAGTATCAAGCAACTGCAAATGCCAACAAAATCCATGTCAAGTCCAGGTTGCAACACAACAAAATGTGAAAAATTAAAAGAAGGGAAAGATTAAACACTTCTACAATGCACCATATACACTAACTTATTATTTTAGCTACTGTATTAAATATACAAAAAAACCCTACATGCACCAAAAAATTAAAATTATAAAGCCATCACATGATAGAAAAAATTAAATTCAAAAGACTGAATCATATAAACTTTCAGATTGATAGAAATAATAGTTGCAGACATTATAGAATCCTTAAATTAAGTTTTTGCTTTTCCAGCACTTATTGCACTGTCAAGAAAAAAGTAAAAAGATGTCTTTGGATTGTATAATTTCATTGGGTATCTGTATAATTCAATCTTTCCAATAAGTACATTAAAATTTGTTTTCAGAAATGAAAAAAAGAATGCTAAAATGAATTTCAGAGAGCATACAATAAAAAAAGGTTTAGGTTTAGTTAAAAAGAGAGACATGCCCATTTCACCAAAAATTATAAACATCACTGTGTTTAATATACTAACCATGCCAACAGAACAGCCAAAGGGGATTAGGGGGAAATTCATGGTCTGAAAAGGAAATGTCAGCTCATGAAAATGTATTCAGTTGTACAATGGCCTCAGTGCATGCAGAGTGCTTACACACTGCAGTGTTTAGAGTTTTTGAAATAAAATCTACTGTTGCAGTCTGTATGAAGGAGAAGTCTGCAGCTCTACCACCAAGCTCCCTTTCTGTATTTATTGTGGCATAGTTTCTTCAAGGAAGTAGCATAAGTTTTTGTGCTAGTGGAATCATAGTTTAAGGAGGAATAGCCCAAAGAGGAACAGTCTGTTGGTGTGAATTCAACTGCATCAATTCAGTTTTGCTAACACAGAGATAGACTGGTATATTGGCAAGAGTTTCTGTTTCCCAACAACGGTAAAAGCAAAACAAAAAAGCTTTGTTAAGCTTTTAAAGAGGTTCCTGGTTTTGGGGTGGGAATTCTTGAAGAAAAAACCAAGATGAGATTTTTCAAGTGAAAGAATTTACAATCTTGAGTATGGTATCTATCACAAATTCCTGGTCTGAAGATGTGCTCAGAAGCATCTTTTCCATAACTCTTGCCACGTTGTTACCTGGCACACCTTTCAGGTGCCTATCTCTGTGTTAACAACACATTTTCAACTAAATTAAGAGCCCATGCCTATGTCTCCAGAAAAGAACAGAAGCTATGTAAACAGAAGAAACATGCTATGCTTTCTTCCCAGACAAAGAAGGACCAAAACCAGAAATGAAATACAATAAAAAATAGATTAGTCTGATCTTGGCCTAAAAACAACAGCATGCCAATACCATAAACCATTAGTGCTCAAAATTTCTTGTATGCCCAGATCACCAGAAGGTAGAGTTTTGTATTTCTTCAGCATACTAACCATGCCACCAAAACTGCCAAAAGGCATAAGGGAACAGCTCATCGCCTGAAAGAAAAATATCAGCTTATATGAATTGTTCTTGCTTAAATATTTGTCCATAGATAAAGAAGAGGCTACTAAACACATGTGTGTCTGCCTCTTTAGGTTACAGATTTGGCTCACTGGGCAGTATTATGATCACATTCCTAGTTTCAGTACTTAAAGTGAACTAGGCTTGCAAAATAGTTCTGACAAGGTATATGGACAGTCAAAATGTGGTAGGAAGGAGGATACAGCTTCCATCCTCCATGCATCTCTTTTGATCCTTCTGTTAAGATCCAGCCACCGGATATGTGAACAAATATGGCTGCAGCTGTCACATCTTGGCTGGCCTTGGAATTGGCATTTAAAAATAGTGTGGTTTATCATGTGTTTGAATAAATATATTTTAGTGCACTAAAATATTCTCCTGCACCTTCAAGTTAATAGTGTTCTGTATTTTATACTTCTACTGCTTTCTCAGACATTCAAATTCTGTCTATCTGCAACCAAGATTAGCCCAGTTCAGATGGAAAGATGTTAATTAAAACCAACAAATCTGTTCCTACTCAACATATAAATTCAAGTAACTAAATTCCAAGGGAATAAATTGCAAACCACAAAAAATTAAAATAAGTGAGGCAGCTAGTATGTACACAAGCAATCATTTTATGCAGAAGCAAGATATTATGTAGAGTTAGCAATGAAATACATACTTATTATCTTAAATATTCATAGAACTCTGGTGATAAACTAAGTCATCTCTCCCATGTCAGCAGTTTCAGAGGTCTTGAGTACAAAATGGTTTAACTTATACATTCACCAGTGAAGAAATTATATGTTAGTATACACATATAAATAGATGATGTTATAAACACCATCAAACATAGTTACTTTCAGATCTCAGCCAACAGAGCTTGAGCATCTCTGCAGGACAAAAAAGTATTAGTGAAGAATCTGTATATAAATTTTAATCTCCAGAATGCCCAGCTGAAGGGCACACAATAAATCAAACTATTCTAGGGAAATGCATTTTAATACAATGGTCTTTTTCCTTATTCAGTAATCAAAGAACCCTTCTTACAGTACAACTACTAAAACAGAGTGCATGTAAAATCAACTCTATTCATTTATAGCCTGCAGCCAATATCTTGTTTCAGTTCCATGACTCATTCACTTTTTTTCTTCACCTCTGCAATCCCTATTTTTTATCCCCATATCTTTTACCTAATTCCTGGGAATGGGAATTGCATTTGGTCCTTCTGGGAAGACCTATGTTATATCAACTTGGAATGCTGAAGATATTCAGCCACACATTTGAGGAATGCTCTCTCCTCTCAATCAATTCAGAGGATTATTCTGCAAAGTACATTCTTGCTGCTTGAGGACAACTTTACGATAGCTAGTTTTGAAATAAACTGCTTAGCCTCAAATTGCTTTAAAATGTGCACTAGAAACTAACAACATGAACAATCTGCTATTGAGTACACTAGTTTTACTTGGTATTTTGCTGTCAAGTAATAAGTTTTAATCTCTTAAATGAAAGTATGTTTTAAATAATTTGTATGTCTAAGCTAAACTGGAGTGTTAACTACAACACCAGGGTTATCTGGTATTAATGGGATGCAGCACTGACAGATGGCAGGCAAAAGTATACCACAACCAAATTTAATAGCAAACCTTTCTTTTATTTCAGGCCTAAGCTGGTACGCAGTATTATCTCCTTCTAAAATGAATTGAGTAATGCACAGACTGTGTAAATCCATGAACTAATAATACGTTGAGGTGCCAAGCCAGTCCTCATTATAGCAGCCCTGCTTCCTAAGAGCTCAGTAATTCTACCTGCTAGATAACCCTTCGTGCTTTGCTGCATCCTGACTAAAGATATATTGAGACACTGGACATTTTATCAGCTCCTGAAAAAGGCTGGCTCTCTGGATGCAAACTGTAGCCGAAGCTTGGTGTTTATGCTTGCACTGATTTTATGAAGCATTTTATAATATTTCCATCACACACATATTGTATTATCACAAACCAAAACAGATGACTGAAAAGGTACACACAAAGCTTATTCAGTCAAATCTAAAACATAATTGTACATTCAATATAGAGTGTTACACATCCATCATTAGAACAAACAGATTTTTTAGATGTATGGACTTCAGGAAAAAATAAATATGGCACCTTTTCAGATACAATCAGTTAATTGCACTTTTTTTCCTCTTTAGTTCATCAGGACATAATGCTTCCAAGAACCTGATCCAAATATTTACGTTGCCTCTCTTTACATGCATGAATCTGAAAATTAAAATACATCAATAGGCAAAGGGGGTAAATCCTCAATTATCCCTTCTTTCCAAGTGTAGAATATTAAATTAAAGATGATCATTATAGAGACATTGTAGTAAAACTGTCCGAACCATAGGAGGTTCAGTATTTTCATCATAAACTACTTTCAAGATAGTTCTCAGTCATGTTAAAATTCGATCACACAATATCTAGGGGTTGGTCTAACGTCTGAAATCATATAGGTCTGCCTTTTGCCAGGCCTTTTTTTTGCATAAAGTATTCAGTGTTAGACAAGGAGCTGTAAGAACTCTAGAATATGGAAAAAGTGAAATGGCAACAGCCACTTCTACTTCGTTCCTCCCCAACGCAACTCCTATATCAAATCAATTCTGAAGAGTCCACAACCTTCCTAAACAGAACCAGAGGATTCAAAGCAAGAAATTAGTGATTTTACAACACTGAAAATTATTCTGACAGTTGGTGGGATTAATTAATTTATTTATTTATTTCACAGTTTTCTATACCGAGCTTCTCAACCTCATTGAGGGACTCAGCCCGGTTTCCAGCCATAAAAAACATATACACTCATTAAAATATCATATATCACAATTACAAAAACAACTTTAAAAACACTATATATAAAACTACAGTGGTCAGTCGTCCTATTAAGATGGATCTACATCAACTTCCATCCAGGGTCCTATGGTGTTGTCTCATTCATCGAAGGCCTGACTCCACAGCCACGTCTTCACCCGTTTCCTAAATGTTAGGATGGATGGGGCGGTTCTGGCCTCCAGAGGGAGAGAGTTCCAGAGTCGCGGGGCCACCACTGAGAAGGCCCTGTCCCTCGTCCCCACCAGGCGCGCTTGTGAGGCCGGTGGGACCGAGAGCAGGCCTCTCCAGACGATCTTAGTAATCTTGATGGTACGTAGGGGAGAATACGTTCGGAGAGGTAAACAGGGCCGGAGTCGTTTAGGGCTTTATAGGTCAACACCAGCACTTTGAATTGTGCTCGGAAGCTAATTGGCAGCCAGTGGAGCTGGCGTAACAGCGGAGTGGTGTGCTCCCTGTACCCAGCCCCCGTTAGTAATCTGGCTGCCGCGCGTTGGACTTGCTGCAGCTTCCGGGCAGTCTTCAAAGGCAACCCCACGTAGAGAGCGTTGCAGTAGTCTAAGCGGGATGTAACCAAAGCGTGTACTACCGTGGCCAAGTCAGCCCTCCCAAGGTACGGACACAGCTGGCGCACAAGTTTTAATTGTGCAAATGCTCCCCTGACCACCGCTGAGACCTGGGGTTCCAGGCTCAGCGATGAATCCAGGAGAACTCCCAGACTGCGTACCTGAGCTTTCAGGGGGAGTGTGACCCCGTCCAGCACAGGCTGTAACCCCGTACCCTGTTCGGTCTTACGACTGACCAGGAGTACCTCTGTCTTGTCTGGATTTAGTTTCAATCTGTTGTCCCTCATCCAGTCCGAGACAGCGGCCAAGCACCGGTTCATGACCTGAACAGCCTCCTTAGTGGTAGGTGGAAATGAGTGATAGAGTTGGACATCATCTGCGTACAGATGACATCGCACCCCAAAACTCCGGATGATCTCTCCCAACGGCTTCATGTACATGTTAAAGAACATAGGGGACAGTATTGACTAGTTACAATATCATAGTACTGACAGTATATGTATTTTCTGACAATAGAATAGCACCAAACAAAATACAGTAGCTTCATATCAAACAAAAATCACATAAATATGCTTGGAAAAATTCAAAATTGCCATAAGGAACATATTCTGGGCATTTACTAGTTTGAATCAAGTCAGATTTTTGTTTGATATAAAATATGGAACTCAGTTGTCAAAAATATTTACCCTCCTGCATTCCTCAAGGGGTTAAGCATATAATGTAAGAAAACTTACTAAATTTCAATGTAATTATGTTGACATACAGTAAGTCTAACGAGCAATAACTTTGGGTTTGCTTTCTTTTAAATAAAATGCATGTGTTCTTCCAGTTCAGTTTATACAACAAAGAGTATTTTCTAAACTGAACAGCTGAGAATAAAATTAAAGAAAAGGGGGGTGAAGAAGTGTAGAGGATTGTAATATGCTTTAGACCAGTGTTTCTCAAACTGTGCTCCTCCAGGTGTTTTGGACTTCTGCTCTCATAAATCCCAGCCAATTTACCAGCTGTTAGGAATTGTGAGAGCTGAAGTCCAAAACATCTGGAGGAGCACAGTTTGAGAAACACTGTTCTAGGCAATTCACTCATACCTCTCTATCAAGTACAGGCTTCCAGGCTTGTAAGTCACAAAAAGTGATGAGGCCTATTTGCAAAACAATCCTTTTTAATTAAATGTAAATATGTCTTAAAGCCCAATACTGCTCACATTCACAAAACTAGATCTGAAATCCACTGAAGTCTATTTGCTGAAAACAGAGGCCAATACAAGTGGAAAAAAAGATCTGACCAGCAGGTGACAGTTTCTCCTGGTCCTAGCATCCATTCTAAATATCTAGATTACTGATCCTGGCACAACGCCGCTTCCCACTAAAGTTCCATTCTAACACCAATTAGACAAGGACCCTGAAAGATTAATACAGAGTTTTTCAAACTGTGCTCCTCCAGAGGTTTTAGACTTCAGCTTCCACAATTCCTAACAGCTGGTAAGATGGCTGGGATTTCTGGGAGCTGAAGTCCAAAACACCTAAAGAACAGTTTGAGAAACATTGGTTTAATTGATTGTTTAAAATACATGCATCTTTAAAATACATGCATCGGAAATATTGATTTTTCACCACACAGACAGATATCTAATGCACCAATTAATGAGTAAGAAAACCCCCAAATGATTGCAGTTTCATATGTGAAGATATTATATATCTATCTTCTTTATATCAAGTTTCTACAGCTTGTTGTATCAGCAAATTAGTGATATATAAGGCAATCTTCTCTGGGTTCACTTAGTAGTATGCCCTAGTGAAATTCATTAGACATTATACCCAAGTATGTGCTACAGGACTGGAGACCAAGAAGAGCTATAGTGCGAATTCATCAAGAGAGCTGTAGCCATGATGGTATGGTGCTAATACACTATATCAGATACCTCAATATAGATATAAATTGGTCAAAATAGGTTAGCTATCTAGAAAAGAAAAAAAACTTTCTTTATTCCTTTTGTTCTATCATTTAAATTCTATAAAATGTTGGATAGTTGAAAACAAACTTAAAACATAATTGCTTCTGATTTGAATGTGAGAAATCAAATGTATCTAACTTGCACAGCAAATATTCAGAAAAGTTAGAACTAACATAACACAATGCAAAGCACCACATCCTGCCACTGGTTACATATTTTAATATATTCTGCTTATCAAAGAGAAAGCATACCTTGTGATTGTTTCTCAAAGCAACCTGAGAATCTGGACGTCCTCTGTGACCTATGTTTCTTTCTCCACCATCTTTAATAGCAAGAAATGGATCACGCCCAAAGGGTTCAGAAAAGAAACGATGTACATGTTCAGTATGTGCAGCAAATGGATCCCTGAAAATTATTGGGGGGGAGGGAGGGAAGAGAGACAGCTCATCTATCGATGTACATTTAGAAAAATGTCAATATTTAAGTTACACAACTTAAAGAATTAGCTATGATAGATTATCAGACTTCCAATAGTCAAGGCACATTTTTTTGAGTTAAAATCAATGCTGCCACCCAATCTTTTGGGGAATATGCATGAACAATGTATCTCACATAAGAACCAGAATGAGATGCAGACTCAGAATTCATCTTCAGAGCCCAGTTGTGATGAGCTGATTCAATCAATCACTCTAAATCAGGCAGGGGCAAACTTCAGCCCTCCAGGTGTTTTGGATTTCAACTCCCACAATTCCTAACTATCTATCTATCTATTATCAAAGAGATTCATTGGTTGCCTCAATCTTTTTAAAATTCTTGCTTCCAAGTAGCTTTTAAAATTTTACACAAAACTAAAACTCTCAGTATTTACTTCCTAGTGCGTTTCCTTCCCTGCCCATTGTGACAGGAAAGCCTAAAGAAAAACAATCCACTTAAACCTGAGTTATTCTAATCTAAGGCAATCCATTAGTCCTTTTCTTTTTAAATTCTTGCTTCCAGGTAGCTTCTTAAAAGCTATCATTTCAGCATATATGTAGTAAACTTACATATTGTTAGACTGGATCAGACTATCAGATATATCTTCAGTTTTAAAGCAGATATGGGCCTACTTGGGCCTTCCCTCCACAGGTTTTGGACTTTGATGCAGACATATAAGAAAATTACTAACCCCCAAAAAACTATCAAGCTAAAAGGTGTTCATCTACTTCTCACATGTTGTTATACCCTGAGCTTATATGGTTTATTCTGATATACATTCTGAAAATGGTCATAATAGCACATATTAGCATATTATCCCTGACAGCTAAACAAACATCAAGGGAAATAGCAATCATTCTACTGTTTTTGTTCACCTATACAATAAGATCTTTGATTCCAGGAACTCTCAGAGATATCAAAATCTGTGGGTGCTCAAGTTCCATTGCATACAATGGAGCTTGTGAAATAGTGTCTCTGATATAAAATGACAAATGAAAAGAAAAAAATGGATCATGGGGAATTTTTCAAGTTGTTGACGGCTGAATCCATGGATGCAATGTCTGGGTACTGAAAGCTGACGGTATATGCGTTTTTCACATTTCTACAAAATAATTATTGGAACAAGATGATTCAATACAAAATGCATTTTTAATCCTTGGGGCCCGAACAATATTATTACAAAGGCAAATAGAGCCTATCTTGCTATGTTTGTTCTCCAATATATGTTTGCTTCTTGAGATCAAGTTAGTGCACACAAAGTTTTCCAGGAAAATCTAATTAGAACAGCCGGTTTTGTATAAGACACTGGTCACAGCAGAAGACTGTAAAAAAACAAAAACACATCACAGGCCACTCTTTGGCAAACTAAATGCACAGGACTCCTTTGCACAGAGAGGAAATTGCTTATGCACCTGTCTTGTCATATTCAGGGGGGAAAAACTTGGCAGGTCCAGGAAAGAGTGTGAGATGTACTAGAGCTTCCCAGGAACAGCTGCAAAGTCAGGGAGACGTTTCTAAAAGCAATTTTATCCTAGACAGTATTTTTGGCTGCCGGTTCAAGATCTCTCCTTCTGAGGTAGGGAAACCTTTCAGATTACTAAACTCGTATTTTAGAGGTTAATCACAAGGTGAAGTACAGTAGTCCTAACTACTTGCAGGATTCAATCTGCAGTATCCAAAATAAAAGGTGCTGTAGATGAGAAGTACAATTTGATTTTTATTCTTACAGCAACCACTGTAGCTTTTAGAAGAGACAAGTGCATGTTTCCCCCCAAAAAATTAAACATGTAACCACTAAAGATGACAACTTTCAGGAGTTACATTAGGCTAGTGCTCCCTAAACCACCTAATGTGGGAAATCAGCAACTTTTTTTGCAAATGTGCCAGGGACTAATACCAGCATTGTGTTCTTTGGCTACAATTCATTATCTCTTCCTAGGGAACGACAAGTAATAGCTAATGGATCAATACCAACCAGTTTATGGACCACCACTATGCATGGCTTATGGTTTTGTGTTCGAGCCTGACAAGATATTTAAAACAGAGATGGGAGAATATGTGACCCTCCAGTTGCTATTGAGACTGGAGCTCAAGCTAACATACCCATACATGAAGTATCAAAAGAGCTGCTATCCAACAATGCCTGGGCAACTGCACTTTGCCCACAACTGCTTTAAAACAAGCAATGGACTGAAGTTTCTTTCCATTCATAAAGTTCAGCACAATTCATTGAGTTATTGTAGTGAACAATAATCAAACTGAAAGTGTCTGAATTACTTTTTGCTGTCATTTTGAAGGAGAAAAGTGGAAGGAAGACAGAGTAAACTGAGGTGTAAGGCGATTACCATAGGCTCATTTCCATAATAATAAAAACTGTGATTTCCAATTACAGGTAGCTTGAAATGTTCCACGGTATCTCAAAAATCTCATTGTATTAAAATGAAAGTACTATGAATTATATTATGCAACATGGTTCTTATGGACTTATATTTTATGGTTAGATATTTCAGAAATCTACTGGTAGAAGGGTTAAAAACTGAACATGCCCCTATGAGACTGTGCCCTTATTTCATTTGCATTGAATTTCACCCACCTTTTCAAAAGAACAAGTAAGTCACTTCCAGAATTTTATACATTAAAAGAGAAGACAAGATTGAATGACTGAATACAAATGAAAGAACCTGCCTGTGTGTGCATGTTTATAGGAAAATGACACTTTTATTGAAGTTGGAGATGGGCGGCAATGTAAAAGCTGGAAACCTTGCCAAAAAGGGCAGTGTGAACAGCTGCTGACACAGCATAAAATCATCCACAAATTCCATTCTGAATTCAAAAGATTCATGAGCAAGCATGATTTTGGCTTAATGGAACCAAACCAAACAGGGTGTGTACTGCACTACCTGAAAGCAATTCTCGAAACACAATCATGCATGGATACAAAGCTGCTAAGGGAAGGTTAGATCTAATTCAGATTAATTAAATCACATGATTGCAAGGCTCATGCAGACAAGCATGAAATTGCTAGAAAGTTACGTAAGCATCTCCTGACTGGACACTCTTCGGACAAATGCTAAATCAAATATGGACTGTAAAATCTATTGAAAAATGAGAGGGGGCAGTGCAGCAAAAAGAGGCTCCTTTAAATAAGAAGAACCTTTTATTTATGTCCCGCCATATCACCCTGAGGGTACTCAGGCGGTTTACAACAGATATCGGCAAACATTCAGTGCTGTGAGAAGCTGAACAAAGACAAAAATAACCAATCCTCCAAATCCCAAAAACAAATCCACATCTTTATAAAAAAAATAACACATTATACTGCAATATTGTTAGTAAATTATAAGGTAAAGGTTTCCCCTTGACATTAAATCTAGTCGTGTCCAACTCTGGGGGGTGCTGTTCATCTCCATTTCTAAGCTGAAGAGCCGGCGTTGTCCGTAGACACCTCCAAGATCATATGGCTGGCATGACTGCATGGAGTGCTGTTACCTTCCCGCCAGAGCCGTACCTATTGATCTACTCACGTTTGCATGCTTTCAAACTGCTAGGCTGGCAGAAGCTGGGGCTAACAACAGGAGCTCACCCCGCTCCCCAGATTCAAACTGCTGCCCTTTTGGTCAGCAAGTTTAGCCACCACGGGCTCCTTTATATACAATTATCATATTATTTATATATTATTATATTGTACTATATTATTAGGTAAAGGTTTTCCCCTGACATAAAATCCAGTCATGTCTGAATCTGGGGGTTGGTGCTCATCTCTAAGCCGAAGAACCAGCATTGTCCGTAGACACCTCCAAGGTCATGTGGCTGGCCTGACTGCATGGGGTGCCATTACCTTCCCGCCGAAGAGGTACCTATTGATCTACTCACATTTGCCTGTTTTCGAACTGCTAGGTTCGAACAGCTAACAGCAGGAGCTCATGCACCTATCCCGGATTAGAACTTGTGACCTTTCGGTCACCAAGTTCAGCAGCTCAGTTGTTGTGCTACAATACCACAATATATATATAATATACTATGAATAGATTATACTATTATTTAATATGTTGTACTATATCAACATATTGTACTTTAACCCACTGCCCCGGTGGCACAGTGGTTTAAAGCACTGAGCTGCTGAGCTTGTTGACCAAAAGGTCGCAGGTTCGATTCCAGGGAGCGGCGTGAGCTTCTGCTGTCAGACCTAGCTTCTGCCAACCTAGAAGTTCGAAAAACATGCAAATGTGAGTAGATCAATAGGTACCGCTCCGGCGGGAAGGTAACGGCGCTCCATGCGGTCATGCTGGCCACATGACCTTGGAGGTGTCTATGGACAACGCTGGCTCTTCGGCTTAAGAAATGGAGATAAGCACCACCACCCAGAGTCAGACATGACTGGACTTAATGTCAGGGGACAACCTTTACCTTACTATATCATACGTTGTTGCATATACAATATGCAATATATTATATCACAACATTATTAATATTACATACAATATGCCAGCACCATTACATTACAATGTTACCATTTCTATATATATAAGTAGATAGATAGTTAGATAGATACAGGAAACAAATGGATAGTATTAATAATAGATATGTGTGTGTATGTATTTAATATATATTATTATAATATATTATATAAAGAGATCCATTCGTTTCCTCAATCTTGTTTAAAACACTTGTTTCCAAGTAGCTTTCAGAGTTTTAGACAAAAGTAAGCCTCACAGTATTTATTTCCTCGTAAATTTCCTTCCCCGCCCATTGTGACAGAAAAGCCTAAAGAAAAATATCCCACTTAAACCTCTGGCCCCTTCCACACAGCTGAAATAAAATTCCATATTTTCTGCTTTGAATTTGGATATATGGTAGTGTGGACTCAGATAACCCAGTTCAAAGCAGATATTGTGGGATTTTCTTCCTTGATATTCTGGGTTACAGGGCTGTGTGGCGGGGCCCTGAGTTGTTCTAATCCAAGGCAATCCATTAGTTCTTTTTAAATTCTTGCTATACTGTTAGACTGGACCAGACCATCTTCAGATTTAAAGCCAGCATGAGCCAATTTGGGCCTTCCCTCCAATTTGGTTGCTATGGTAACCGGCTGTTAGGCATTGTGGGAATTGCCAAAACACGTGGAGGGAAGGCCCAAATTGGCCCATGCCTGGAGTAGGAGCCCCCCTGAGTCATCCTGGCCGCAGAAAAGACTATGAAAGCCCCCTTCCCCTCTTCACCGAAAGAAGGGGTCCTCCTCGAAGACTCTGGACAGGCTCCCGAACATGACTCTGGCTCCTGAAGCTCTGCTGCTGCTGCTGCTGCTGCTGCTGCTGTTGCTGTTGTTGTGGCGGCTTCTACTCCAAAAGCCTGGAGAGATCTTCCCCGGCCAAGATGTAACCACCCCACCCCTCTCCCCCCCCCTTAGCCTCCAAATCCCCGCCCCTCTCGTTCCTGATTGGCTCTGGCCGGCACCCAAGATGGCGACCGTCGACAAAGGGGAGGGGCCGCTACCATAGCAACCGTAGCCACGCTAGGAGTCTGCCTGCCTGGGTTTCCTAGGCCCTTGCTTGTTGTTGCTGTTCTCTCCATTGTGCTTTCCTCCTAGATCAGTGTTTCTCAACCTTCCCAATGCCATGACCCCTTAATGCAATTCCTCATGTTGTGGTGACCCCCAACCATAACATTATTAGGCCTTTAAAGCCCTAAACGGTTCTGGCCCAACTTACCTATCCGAACGTATCTCAGCCTATCAGCCCACCAGGACCCTAAGATCTTCTGGGGGGCCCTGCTCTCTATCCCGCCTGCTTCACAGGTGCGGCTGGCGGGGACGAGAGACAGGGCCTTTTCTGTGGTGGCCCCGCGGCTATGGAACGCCCTCCCCATGGAGGTAAGATCAGCCCCCTCATTGATGGTTTTCCGGAAAAGACTAAAAACCTGGATGTTCGAGCAGGCGTTCGGTTAACTCAGTGCAATAAGTGTAATGATTGAAGGACTGGCAATTTGGACGACGAAACTGGATCACGATTTTAGTCAAGAGATGAATTGGATTGTTTATTGATATATGTATTGTGGATTATGTTTTTATGCTTTTTAAACTGTATACTGTTGTTTGTTATAAGTTGTTGTAAACCGCGTTGAGTCGCCGGCTAGGCTGAGAAACGGCGGTATACAAGTATAGCAAATAAATAAATAAAATAAATAGACATAATAGACTTATTTCTGTAATTTTGCTACTGTTATATGAATCGTAATGTAAATATCTGATATGCAGGATGTATTTTCAGTCACTGGAACAAATTTGGCACAAATACCCAATACGCCCAAATTTGAATACTGGTGAGGGTGATTGATTTTGTCATTTGGTAATGCTGGAGTTGCTGGGATTTATAGTTCACCTAAAATCAAAGAGCCTTCTGAACTCCACCAATGATGGAATTGAATCAAACTTGGCACACAGAATTCCCATGACCAAGAGAAAATACTGGGAAGGTCTGGTGGACATTGACCTTGAGTTTTTGGAGTTGTAGTTCACCTACATCCAGAGCGCACTGTGGACTCGAGCAATGATGGATCTGGATCAAACTTGGCACAAATACTCAATATGCCCAACTATGAACACTGGCAGAGTTTGGAGAAAATAGACCTTGCCATTTCAGATTTGTAGTTGTTGGGATTTATAGTTCACCCACAATAAAATAGCATTCTGAACCCCACCGATAGAATTGGACCAAACTTTCCACACAGAACCCCCATGACCAAAAGAAAACACTATGTTTTCTGATGGTCTTTGGTGACCCCTCTGGCACCCCCTCGTGACCCCCACAGGGGTCCCGACCCCCAGGTTGAGAAACACTGTCCTAGATGTTTAATCAAAGGCTCCAAAGCAGGGCTCTTGATGTTGATGATGGTCAGAGTCCATGTGAACCACCCTCTCTGCCTGACTCTTTATTATTATTATTATTATTATTATTATTATTATTATTATTATCTGCAGCAGATCTTACTTACTTTACTTACTTAGGCCATCCCTCGTTGGACGAGTAAGATGGTCCTCCTTGATGACTATTTTTGTGGGTCTGTAGGTGACTGTGGAGCCCTGTTCTTGATCTGCATCTTCTTCCGCAGTGAGGGCATTGGTTTCCAGGTGGAAGGCAGTCCCGGTCGGGGTTGGCTTGATGCGCTTTCCTCTTGGCACATTTCTCTCTTTCCCCCTCCATTCGTGCCTCTTCAAATTCTGCAGCACTGCTGGTCACAGCTGACCTCCAGCTGGAGCGCTCAAGGGCCAAGGCTTCCCAGTTCTCAGTGTCTATGCCAGAGTTTTTAAGGTTGGCTTTGAGCCCATCTTTAAATCTCTTTTCCTGCCCAACAACATTCCGTTTTCCATTCTTGAGTTTGGAGTACTTACTTAGGCGATCCCTCGTTGGATGAGTAAGATGGTCTTCCTTGATGACTATTTTTGTGGGTTTGTAGGTGGCTGTGGAGCCCTATTCTTGACCCGCATCTTCTCCCACAGTGAGGCATTGGTTTCCAGGTGGAAGGCAGTCCCGGTCGGGGTTGGCTTGACGCGCCTTCCTCTTGGCACGTTTCTCTCTTTTCCCCTCCATTCGTGCCTCTTCAAATTCTGCAGCACTGCTGGTCACAGCTGATCTCCAGCTGGAGCGCTCAAGGGTCAGGGCTTCCCAGTTCTCAGTGTCTATGCCAGAGTTTTTAAGGTTGGCTTTGAGCCCATCTTTAAATCTCTTTTCCTGCCCATCAACATTCTGTTTTCCATTCTTGAGTTCAGAGTAGAGCAACTGCTTTGGGAGACAGTGGTCGGCATCCGGAGATTGGCCAGTCCAGCGGAGTTGATGGGAGGACCATGCTTCAATGCTGGTGGTCTTTGCTTCCAGCACACTGACATTTGTCTGCCTGTCTTCCCAAGAGATTTGCAGGATTTTGGAGGCAGCGGATGAAATCATTCCAGGATTGCATGTGATGTCTGTAGACAGTCCATTTCACAGGCATATAGCAGGGTTGGGAGGACAATAGCTTTATAAACAAGCACCTTGGTATCCCTACGGATGTCCTGGTCCTCAAACACTCTCTGCTTCATTCGGAAAAATGCTGCGCTCGCAGAGCTCAGGCAGTGTTGTATTTCGGTGTTGATGTTAACTTTAGTAGAGAGATGGCAGCCAAGGTAGCGGAAATGGTCAACATTTTTTAATGTTACACCATTAAGCTGTATTTCTGGCATTGGAAAAGGGTTGGCTGGTGACTGCTGGAACAGCACTTTGGTTTTCTCGATGTTCAATGACAGGCTGAGCTTCTCGTATGCTTCTGCAAAGGTGTTTAGAGTGGCTTGTAGATCTTCTTCTGAATGCGCACAGACGGCATTGTCATCAGCATACTGGAGTTCTATAACAGATGTTGCTGTAACCTTGGTTTTGGCTTTCAGTCTGCTGAGGTTAAACAGCTTGCCATCTGACTGATAGATGAAAGAGGGTCCAACCAGGGGCAAGATGGATGGATGGTGTCCTTGAAGCGACTGACTCGATCTTGAAGGAGCTGGGATTCATGGATGGCTGATACAAGGGTGCATCTATACTGTATAATGAATGCAGTTTGACACCACTTCAACCACACCTATTCAATGCTATGGAATTATAAGAGTTTTGCTTAAAGAGTGTTTGGTGCCTCATCAAACTAGTCCTCCCATGATTTGATAGCAGTTGAAATGGTGTCAAACTGCATTCATTTTGCAGTGTAGATGCAACCTTGAGAGGACTTTAATCTCCACTAAACCATCTAGTAAGGCTGTGCTGTGTTGTTGTTTTTAAACTTTGAATAGGTTTTGATGGATTTTAACTGCATGTTAGTACTGTTTGTGTTTAATTCTGTTGTAATGTTTATATATTTTAAATTGTATACTAATAATGCTTTTACATAAAGACGCGTTGAGTCCCCTTTGGAGAAGTAAAGCGAGATATAAATAAATATGATTATAATAAGTGAATACATATTCATGATGAGGGCACCAAGTTCAGAAATAATATGCCTCTCATTACCAACTACTGGGGCAGGACAACAGGAGGGTGCTCTTATGTTCATGTCTATTCATGTATTTCCCATTAGCATCTGGTTATTTGTTATGGGAACTGCCTTTCAACCCAGCACAGCAGCCCTTTGTAGTCTTCCTTTCTTGTTTTTAATAACACCTTTGGTTGAAGAAGCTCTTTTAAATATACCAAATGACTACACACTCAGTCTCTTACTAATTTAGGCTTAAATAAATCATTAAGTGATGCAGGTTATTCTTAGTTAAGTTATATTTAGACCTGCCTAAATTAACAATATGTCTGTCTGAGAAGCTCCGGCTTTTCATGCCTGTGCAGTCTCCTTTCTTCATCATCCTTTGTCTAGGTTGAACTTTTTAAGCAGTATCAGCACTGAAAGGATGGTAACTCAGGGCTGGGGAAACCTTGACTTTTGCAGACAAGCCTGCAGTGAAGTTTAAAACTGGGAAAGAGATGCAGTTTGACACTGCTTTAACAGCTATGGCTAAATGCTGTGGGATGATGGGAATTATAGTTTTACAAGGTCTTTAGCCTTCTCTGCCAAAGAGTCCCATTGCTTCATGAAACTACATCCCAGGATTCCATAACACTGAACCATAGCATCTAAAGTGGTGTCAAATTGCATTAACCTGGCACTATATAGATCAGGCATGGGCAAACTTCAGTCCTCGAAGTGTTTTGGACTTCAACTCCCATGATTGTTAGGAATTGTGGGAGTTGAAGTCCAAAACACCTGGAGGGCTCAAGTTTGTCCATTCCTGATATAGATGCACTTGTAGTTAACTAACCCATATTCCTGTATGTTTTGCAAATATCACAAGTTTCTAGTAACCATGCCTGACTGGTTTGACCAATTGATATTTATAACATTCTGGTAGTTCAGAAAAATATGCTCGCAGCCTACAATTTATTGCTGAGATCTGTAAATAAAATGCGTTTTACTCTTCTGTCTTTGCAAAAGGTATTGGATTCATGTGAAGGCAGCAGAAACCTGATCTGAAGTGTTAGAAGAACTCAGCAATCTTGCTTTAAATGACATCATTTCAAGGGCTCAGGAGTAGCAGTATTTTTAAAATGTCCAGCACCTAGACAAGTGTAATGTCAATAAAGCAACCTTGAAATTACCTTTGCATAATACTTCAGGTTGCCTGGCTGCTTCTAAGAAATACATAGATGAATAGATCTGTAAACAGAACAAGGAGAATCTGTATGGCATAGTGCAGTGATGGGCAACCTTTCAAGCTTGGTGTGTCAAAATTTGCCAAAAAACCCCCCCAAAAAAAACAACCAAAAACCCCGAGCTTAACTCAGGTGGGGATATCACT